GATGTGTGCTATTAACGGGACAGGCCGGAGGGATGAATGGAAATTAAAGACTGACGTTCTTTCAACTCCAATCCATGCCATCATATCGTCGACATTCGCAATAGCTGTTGTGAGTGCACATATTCGTATTGGGACGTTCAACCTCTCTGTAATTTGCTTTGTACGAGTAACAATTGCTTCGATCACAGGTCCTCTGTCTTCCCCAAGTAAATGAATTTCATCAATAATGACTAACCCTACTTTCTGGATGTATGACTTCTTCATCCACAATCGAGTCACCCCATCCCATTTCTCAGGGGTTGTTAGAATGACATCCGCTTTCAATATAGCTGAACTGTCCGGTGTAAAGTCTCCTGTTAACTCGACGATTTCCTTCTTCATCTGTTTCAACTTACCCCGCCAATCCTTCAATTTCTCTTTCACTAAGGCTTTCATGGGAGCTACATAGACTACTTTCTTCGATGGAGTGTCGCGGAAGACCTTTAACATACATAACTCGGCAGCTACAGTCTTTCCAGATCCCGTCGGTGCGCCGACGATGATGTTACTATCAGTGTGGAAACATTTAAAGAAGAATTGCGTTTGTGGAGGGTTAAAGAATTTGAAGCCAAAGAAGTCCTCATATTGCCGAGTTGCTTTTGTAGGCAATGGATTGAGTCGGAGGAGTTTTGTCATGAAGGACTCATCGTCGGGCAGTGTGGACTCGTCGAAGATGACTGGCGAAGTACTGGTGCACCCAAAGTATTTGTCCGAGACCACGTCGACGACGTATTGATCGTTGTGGATGACAGGAACCGACGCTATGATTTCCAGTGGTGTTCCTGTTGCGTTATAGTCGTCAATAGCCTTTTGGTTCAACATGAACGAGTCGAAGTAGAAGAGTTGGGAGTATTTACTGTCGCTAATGAACAACCAAAAATTCTCAATAGTGCCCAAATCTCTTCCCCATCTGAATGTTGGGTGCACATGAACTTTAATTTGGAGGATAGTAGAGGTCAATGGGATGATTGAAGTGTCCAACGCCAAATAAGGAAATTCAGAGGCACATTGTTTGATTTGTGTCGCATATTGAGGAGTGTCCATGAACTCATTCTTGTCCATTTCACATATAGTCTCCACATCAATGTGCTTTGTTTGAAGTCTTAAAACCACTTGTACGGGCAACGACTTAAATTGGAAGAGGGGGTGAACGGTATTCCAATTTTGTTGGTCGATCATCTTTGTAAGTTCCAATAAGTTGATAGCTTCGCTTGATAAGGATCTAATGCACGCAAGCTCAAAGAGTGCACGAGTGACTCTTGACGCATTTTGGTTCGCATATAAAGTCTCTGATATCAATGTGAAATTCTCAAGTACTGTATGAGAAAGACTTGCTTGTATTAAAATGTTTGCTTTGTTAGCAGCTAAATCATCGCCTTTAATTGCCCATTTGACTCGTCGTGATATCTCTTCCATTTCTTTCTTCTCTTCCTCTCGCATCTTTTGGAGTTGTTTTAATTCATTCGACGAACACACCAAATCAAGAAGACTTCCCATCGACATTCCTTCATGCAGCTTCTCCGAGAATGTGAACATCGACTCAACAGTAACATAATAGTGTGATGCAATTCGTCCCAATAAAGTCGGTGAGAACATCCCCGTCTCATCATTCACTAACGTCATTTGTAAGTTCTCCAAATTCCTCACAGTTCCTCCAATCAATGAATTCAAGTCATCATACCCAACACCACCTTCACTTCGTTTCAAACACACATATAAGTATGTGTATTGGAACCACTGTAACGCTTCCTCCATATTGGCTACAGTACCAGACACTATCTCCGCATTCAAATGGTCCGAAAGGCCATTCATCAGTGTCGACTTGATCTTCCCCATGTTTCCTAATATCGCTAAATACTTCTGTTGTCCTTCTTTGTCTGTAATTATAATCCCCGCACCTTCCGTATCAAATTGAGGCCGTCCAGCTCTTCCAAACATCTGTAATACGTCCAAGATCGATATTTTGTCAGAACACCCTTTGTCACTATTAAACACTTCAGTGCCTTTAATGATGACGGTGTGTGCTGGTAAGTTGACTCCCCACGCTAACGTCGCTGTTGAGACTAACACTTTTAATGTCCCATTTCTGAACGCGTCTTCAACAAAGGTACGGTCCGACCGGAACATCCCCGCATTGTGCACGCCAATTCCCATCTCAAGAAGTTCTTTCAAGTCGCGCCCTTGTAACTTCTTGATCCGCGTTGCAAACTCGCGGTCTTTTAACCCACTGAAATACTCTTGGTCAGCTTTCTCTCGTATCTTTTTAATAAATCGTTGCGCTGTTAAATACGTCTCTCTTCGTGTGTGGACAAACACAATGACTTGTTTCCCTCTTTTAACTACAATCTCCGCTTCGTCAAACGCGACGTCTGTTGCGTGTGAAATGAATCGGTTTCCTCTGTCGTCCTTCTCATTTTCAGGCAGCACAATGAACTTAGTCGACATCGGCACCGCTCTGTAACTCATATCAAAGTAAAAGATGTTTTCCTTCTTTGCGCGAATGAACTCCCCAACATCCAAGTAATTGGGAAGTGTCGCCGACAGTCCTACAACACGAATAGGTCGTTGTTGACTCTCTACCATTCGAAGTGTTCGAGCTACAATAGTCTCTATAACAGCACCTCGGTCTTCATCCAACAAATGTACTTCATCGACTATTAACAGTTGAATGTCATTCACAAACTCAGCGTCTTGCTTTCGAGTTAAAACGTCGAACTTCTCTGGTGTTGCTACAATCACGTTTGTCGCCATAAGTTGTACCTTTGGGATGTTCGTGTCTCCAGTGACTTCTTCGACTTTCATCTTGAAACACGCCAAGTGCTTTCTGAAAGTGTTCGTCATTTCAGTCGCAAGTGCTTTCAGTGGGGAGATGTAGATGATCTTCAAGTGACTCAAGTCGTGGATCCGCATTTTGACTTCACGTAACATACAAAGAAGTGCCGTCAACGTCTTCCCGCACCCCGTCGGCGCACACACCAACATGTTATCTCCCGAGTTATATGCACAATTATACACTTTACTTTGCACGTAATTCAAATGAGTGTACTTTAACATAGCCGGGCGTGTTAAGTCGTCCAAGATGTCTTTAACTTCCAGTCTCTCTGTCATCAATGACTTCGCCGAAGGAACAGCGGGTATGTACATTTCGTATCGGTCCGGCAAGTTTCTTTCAATTGCGTTTTGTGGGATCGAAGGCCTTTGCATAAGCTCTTGAGGTCTGCCGACATATGGCTTCGACTCCGGGTTAGGTGTCTTCTGCCTTTTCTGCTTTGGTCTCTCAACGACTTGTCGATTAATGATTAATGGGTAGTTCTGGCAAATCTCTGCTATAAACTCAAATGCGTCATCTCCATAGACTTCAAACAAAGACGTTTGCAATTGGATTTCGTCGGATGTCATATCGACTAAGGACTCAACGCTCGCTTCTAACTCGTCGGGAGTTAAACCCAGACGTTGATAGATGATTTCACACAACGGTGATGTCGTCACAAATTTCCTTAGCCAAGTGTATTCCCCAGTAGTTTGAGGTTGTTGCTTCTTTCGTTGGCGTGGCATGTGTAGGGTATCCAGTTCAAATTCTTTTTATACAAGTCCAACTCAAGCCTCAAACTTTTCTTTTTCAAAGACTTCAAATAACAAATTCTAATCGTTTCTTGTGTGAATAGTTTCTAAAAACGGAACTAGAATATTATAATAAATATATTAATAAGAAAGTGTTAGAATGCACTGTGAAAGAAAAAGAAGAAACAATTAATTGTCGTCAGTGAACTCTAAGAATATATCATTGGATACAGCTTTGAAGTCCATTGTGTCGGACCGAGATAACATGTTGAATAAATTCTCTGGGTATTTCGCAAGTTTCCCACGCAACACAGTAAACTCCTCATCGTTGTCAAACTTCTTGTCTTTAACGATTAACTCCCTTTTCAGCTCGATTCCTTTAAGAGAAGGGTCTGGTGGTGTTACTGATGTTTCTGCTTTGTCATCATTCAAAAAGAGTAAAGGGACAAGAGGGAGGAATTTTGGTTTCAATAAGTTAGATGGACTTAGTGGTGACATGAAGATCCAAGAGAATGTTTCTGCTGGGCAAGTTGGGATGATCTGTAACATATCCAACAAATGGAGTCCACTTAATATGACCATCCCATCCCTTTCAAATGGCAAATTGAATATTGATATCAATTCGTTGATGATTGTTGGTATTCTTTTTCGTAGTCGTGTGAATGAGCACTTTAAGAGTAATACTCTGAGTAAGAGAAAAGCGTTGACATACAACGTTGGTGTTGGATATACTTTGATTGAGTCGATAATTTTGTCCAGCACTATTTCTATGATCAACTGATTTTGATCTGTCGAAGAGTCAAGGGTTTCATTCTCTCCCGCATAAAAGATAAAAGCAAGTCGTTTAAACACTTTCTCTCGTAATGTACTTTCCGTCTCTTTACTAACAAATAATTGGTTCGACTTCCCAATAGTATAAATCAAGTCGAGGAGTCCTCTATTGTTATTCATAGTGTATACATTGAATATCGGAAATTTCCACAAGTCGAGTAACTCGGGGCTCTTTTTAAAGAAATCGTCCGAGTAAAACACGTTCATCACAAGCTTCGACCACTTCCCAATGAGTTGATTCTTCTTAGCCAATTCATTTAATATATTCAGAGATATAGTGTTGATGGTTGTGTTGTTACTTGGTTTCATCAAAACGTTCTCAAATTGCCTTCCCAAGTCTATCATTGTTGAAAGAGAGTTGTCGTCGAATGCAAGTGATATGATAGGGATGATGTCACTCACAACGAAATTGAGGATATCTGGTGTGATCATCAAGTCTTCCGGATTCTCAACGACCTTTAAGTCAGTCATACTCTTTGTCGCTTCCTCTGACGCTGTCACACTTTGAAAATCAGTTGAAGACATTCGACTTCTCTTCCTTTTTACGGTGATGTCTTCCTTCCATTTTTGCACTTTTAACATGTACTTTGATACCAAAGTCGTGACTATTCCCAGCCAATCGTACGAGACTTTATTGGGTTGTTCCGACTTAGAAATAGTCTCTAAGAACACCTTTAATGTGTGAATGAGGGGAAGCGTGAGTTCATCGTTATTCACAAATTTGTTAATGACCGATTGGAAATACAATTGCAGGCGATACGTCTCGACAGGAGAGAGTATTTGCGTGATAATGATCTGAACAAAGTTCATTGCAACTTGTGAAGGAACCGCGTTGTTCTCGCATGCTAAAAGAAGTGAGCCGACAACTGCTCCTATTTCTTCAAATGAAAACGACTTGAAAAACGCGATGTGTTCGACAGGGTCCTTGCACACAAGTGTCAAATACTCGGTGACAAACTCCACAGGGAACGTCTTGAAAATCATTTTAAGAAACTCGACGCATTGCGTTTGTATTAAAAAGGAATTGACCTCTTTCTTAGTGTATGAGTACAACTCAAAGAACGCAGAAATCAGTCGTTTGAGTGTTGGAGCTAAGAAATGGCTTTCCGTCGGTCGTTTTTCCTTCACATCTTTCACGTCGACAAATACCGAAGCGACCAACATTGGGATGAATATCATCGCATTTCCAATTTGTTGTCCCGGTGAAGGTTGTGGTGTTGGTTGCTGTTGTTCGAAGGGGGATTTGACTGGTGAAATGTTCAATGAGAATGTCAGTAGTTTTTGGAGTGTTTCAATCACTGGGGTGATCTCTTCGTGTAACACCAAAACGTGTGGGGAAAGAGTTTGATAGATCTTAGTCATCACACCGAGAACAGCTTGAATTAGTAAGATGATAGAATCTTTCAATACCGATTGTGGAAGATATGAAATGCACTCGTTAGTCATTTTTAAGAAGTGGAGTCGATACATGTGTTTGTCTTGGACGATCCCACCAATCATTACTTGGAGGAACAAGGGGTACTTAGTAATACATGTGTCTGACTCGGAAATATCAGATAATTTCATTAAGCACTTTATTAGTGTTAAAACGTGGAGTTGAAGCTTCGAAGTTGAAGAGATCAACTCCAACGCAGATAACAAGATGGTGTAATTCAGTGTTGCGCCCATCTTCTTCACTGTATCATTTGAACTGTAATTCATGAATATCCCAATTAAAATATCCGTCGTTCGCTTCTGGAAGTTGAAGACGGACACTTTGTCCTTCACATCGACCACATTCTTATTGGCTTTCAAATACAACAGAACAACAGAAACAAGAAGTGTCAACAGATTTGAAGGTTCTGCAACATTCTCAAATGATATTTCAAGACTTTGGAACTTCTTTAATAAGAATTGTGGGATCTTAGCGGACTCAAGTGATGATATCAATTTGTGATTTGCACAAGAGAAAAGTGTGTGGATAATTTCAAGATGTGTTATTAACATATTGTTATTCACCTCAAATCCAGCGTACTTAGTCTCCGTTCTTTGGTTCAAAGGAATCAAAAATGGGGCGATAAGGGGTACGACCACTCTTTCAATAGTTTCCACGTTAAAGCACGAATGTAAGAAATCCAAGAAGTATGGATCATATTGTTGGTGATTGTAATACCTTAAGAAGAGTAATGTGGCTTTGTTGAACACTGATTTTGAAGTATCGTAGACAACAACAGTCGAGTTCTTCCAAAAGTACAAAAACTTGAACATCTCTTCCTCATTCTGTGAACCCATTTTAGTCGTAATAAACTCGTAAGCAATGTCTTGATACACATTCCCCATCGCGTGGAAAAATAAGACGACATCCGTCAGACTAACATAACAACTCTCACATATCAAATTCCATAACATGTCAAAGAACCGTTTGATGAACACCTCGTCGTTCATGGACAACACATCCCGTTCATCTTTCTTCCAAATCTCATAAAAACAACGAGCAGCAGATAACCGAGTATCTATGTCCTCGTTCTCTATTATAAATTTCTTCAAGTCAGAGAGCCACTGATTCTTAGAAAGCATTTCAGTCTTCAGTTTGTCTATTTCACTATTGGTGACAACATCGGAATTAACAACATCAACCTTCTTGGACTCGTCCTGTGTTCGTGGAGTTTCACTGGTTTGTGCTTCACTCGTTTCTTCAGAATGTGACTCTACTTCTATGTGGTTGAGAGTGCGTCGCTTTTGTTGTTTGTATTGCGAGTAATCAACGTGGTGAAGCTTCAAAAGGTCGTAGAACTCGAGTAAAATGGACTTCACTTTTTCGTTCAAAATATCGGAAGTGTGTAACTCAACAAATTTCTCAAATAATTCATCAACACGTATAGACGATTTTAAAACAACTTCATTAAAGTTACCTTCATTTTGTATCATCTGCAAGCACGTTTTGATTAACTTGAAACATTCGGTATACATCGTTTCATTTTCTATTTCTTTGGACACAACAAGCTTCTCAACACGATTCCAACACACCTCCACGACAGTACCTCTGAACACACTAACTTTTTTATTTCGTTCTTCATCTCCATGGTACGTATTAAAGAACACAAGACTTTGTTCAACAGCCAATTTATTGTTTATGTCCTCCAACAGCCCAGTGATGTATTCAAAGAGTAAATCGACATTCACATCAGACAAAAATTCGACGATGAGAAGAACGTCACTCTTCTTATTACCATTTTCAGCGTCTTGTAATAAGACCAAAATAGACTCCATGATCTTCCCTATTATGACTTCCGCTATGTCTTGTTTACTCAACAATTCTTCATATATGGAAACAATCTTTGCTGTTTGATTTTGGCGACCATAAAGAAATACAGATGAGAGCGCCGTGACTAACTTCGTTTCACTGAACTCTTTAAAGTACTTCATAGTCTCCTCTTTGTTAACATCTTGTGATTTTGCACTCAACCCTAATAAATAGAAGTTAACTCGTCGCGTTAAGCCACTCTCTCGTTTGGTGAGAACTAACAACATCCGCTCTATCAAATGCTCGAAATGTTCTTCGTCAAGTATTTTTGAATCCAATTTAATACGCGTGCACAAGACGTCTAACATATCCCTCACAACCAATTGTTTCTCATCATTTAAACTGTTAACTATTGCATAAAAGAGCAGCTCCTTGTCTGGAATTTGTGTTTCAGTGAGAGGTAAATCGAGTTTCAAATTCATGTAAATCAGCATCGCCTTCCTCGACACAGCATTTGTCCTCAGAACGTCCCACGAAGTCTCCCAAAAGAACTTCTCGTCGTCTTTCTTCAATTCGTCCATCAAGTCGAGAGTCTTGTCTTTGATTCCCATTGATGGTTCTTCCATTCCAACGACAACGGATATTATAAACGCCTTCTGGATGTTCTTAGTTGCTTTAATAGTATTTATTAAGTACTTTTTAACTACGTCAAGTACTTTAACTCTTATATCAGTCGATCCACTTCTGATGAGTGGGAAGAGTCCTGGTGTAAAGCACCAAATGTCTTCAAAGAGTCTGATCTGTCCGATACGTTCGAAGAGCATCACGAAAAGGTCTAAGACTTGACTATGAACTCCAGAAGGTATTTGTGGATCCAAAACTTGAGCCATTCTCCTCATGAAAGATTGCTTTGCAGGGACGACTGGATACTTTTGGTTCGCTTTAATGTACTTTGCAAAACTCTGTACATTCTGTAAGATGTCGGACCACATTTTACTCTTCTCCATTTGGTTCAACATTTTCTCGCACTCGTCGTTGTACTTCTGGAATTGGTTCTTCTCCTTTTGTGTTGTTAGAAAGGACATATCGACGTCCTCGTCTATGTTTCTCCGCATCAGCAATTTGTTTTTAAAGTTCACGAAGAAAGTTATTAAAATTGGTTTTTGGTCTGCTGCTGGTACTTCGAAACGAGTTTTTGTAGTGATGAGAAGCACTTTTAGGAAGTCACAAGTGTACTGCAAGCTTGAAATGCCATTGATTTTACTATTATACAATAGTATAAGTATAATAAAAGTAAATGTTCTAATAAATCGGAACAAATTGGAAGAGAAGTGCAAAGGAGTGAATCATGGAGATACTTTTTTTCTTATCCCAAAAGTCCGGATTCGAGTGATTTGGTGACTTTATTGAACACTTAAAAAGTGTTTTTGTTTTGGGTTTGAGCACTTAACTCACGCGACTTACAAGAAAAAAAGTGGGAGCTAACCTCTGTGGTGTAAAGTGTCATATTTATGACAAATTGTATTTTAATAATTTATTTAATAATAAATAAAACTATTTGTTCAACAGAGAGTATTTGTGATATAAGAGACTGTGATTCAAATCTAATGACAATCACAACTCAATAAGACAAAGAACTTTTAAAGTTAAAAATGGATGAAGCGAAGAGTAAAACACGGAAGATAGAGAGAGAACTTGTGGACATCCGGACACAATGGGACACCGTATTAAGTACAACCGACTCAATTCTGTCAAACGACCCAAACAGCCGAATGGTCATCTCATTTCCAGACACATCGGAGTTGGTGACTCGTCTCCAACAACTCGAGCCATTAATCGAGGAAGTCAGACAACTTGTAACGGCGGTGGAAGACTCGAAGAGAAATATGTTGTCAATGTTTGTTCAGTTGTGTTCAATAGAGACGTGATATGACTCACAGAAAAATCGACCAAATCATCGACGAGAAGAAAACGTTGTCAGAGCAAATCAGTCAAAAAGAGTTGGAGAAGAAGGATTATATATATCGCCAAGAGGACGCAAATCGGAAGAACGAGGAGCGTGTCGGGATGCGACAAACACGAATGGGGTTATATGCCAAAGAAAGTGAATCCCTCCGAACGTCAGAGTCTTTGGTGAATGATATCTCCTCTAACATCGAAGCAACTGTTTTCATGTTAGAGGACCAAGGCTCACGACTTTCACATACACAAATACGTTGGAATGAATTAACGAGTGTGTTGGGGCTATCGCGGACTGTAATGAACTTGATAAGCTCAAGAAATAAAGGAGATAGAATTCTGGTATATGGAGGGTTGTTGGGGATAGTCGTGATACTCTTTTTGATATACTATTTCCTTAAACGATGATTGATTCTTTGTGTTGCTATTCATTTCAAAGGGATTCTATAATATTTTATTATTATAAACTATAATTAATACTGCGTATTAACATTTATATTATTTAATATAATTGAAAAGAACTAAAAGATCAATATGATTAATACATCAAAGTTGTGTAAACCTCACACGAAGATGTATGTTATCCATGACAATTTGATTTGACGGGAAAATAAAAAAATGTTATTTTTTAGTGAAAAAAGCCCACCATTTTCCACTGTTTTTCTCTCGACATTTTCAACAAAAACTTAGGTTTTAAGAAATTGATTTTTGTTAAATAAAGAAAACAAGAAGGCATGCAAATAGAGCAAACAAACGGGCAAATACACATAAACATAAACCCTGTGGCAAAATAAAAAAAATCAAAAAGCAGGATCGATTTCGTTTTGACTTTTTATTATTGAAAAGAGCGGATTTTAAAGCTCTCAAACGGGATTATGCGGCGCTCTACGTTTCGAAAAGAACCAATGAAACACGAAAAAAGTGCTATAGAAGAAAAGCAAAAAGGAACTGGAAAAGAGAGAATGGGGAGCTGGTTGAGCAAATTACTTGGGAAGAAAGACATGAGAATTCTGATGGTTGGGCTTGACGCTGCCGGGAAGACATCGATCTTGTACAAACTGAAGTTAGGAGAGATTGTGACGACCATCCCAACTATTGGATTCAATGTCGAGACAGTTGATTACAAGAACATCTCATTCACTGTGTGGGATGTGGGAGGACAAGATAAGATTCGACCTCTTTGGAGACATTATTATCAGAATACTCAAGCCATCATCTTTGTAGTTGATTCCAATGATAGAGATCGTATCTCTGAAGCTAAAGAAGAACTGATGAAAATGTTGAATGAAGACGAGATGAGAAATGCTGTATTACTTGTCTTTGCTAACAAACATGATCTTCCTCAAGCTATGAGCATCTCAGAAGTCACAGAAAAACTCGGCCTTCAAACTATCAAGAACAGAAAGTGGTACTGCCAAACATCTTGCGCTACAAACGGCGACGGGCTCTATGAAGGTCTTGACTGGCTTGCTGACACTCTCAAGTGATTTCTGTCACATCAATTTTTTATTTTGGTTTGATGTTCTTTTCGGTTCTTTCTTTCTGCACCTTCTTGTATTATATAGTTATATACTAATAATTTTACTATATCTCATTTTCTGATTTTTTAATTTGTAAAATGAAAGAAAAAGTCAAATTGATGTCTAAAGAGTGTAAGATCATCAATTTCTACAATTTTGGGTCGATCAAGATCAGCTATCCTGGAGAGAAAAAGAAGAACACAGAGAAAAAAGAGGCGGAGAAAAAGAAAAAGAACACCAAACAGACGAAACCCAAGAATCAATGCAAAAAAAAAGAAAAAAAGGAGAAAAGTAGCGAAAAACTTCAAGAAAAAATCGAGGAAAACAGAGACCAAGATATTTTGAAAAACACATTTACAACTTTCGATGACTTTCCTGGAAAAGTCAACGAATCACTCATTTCACAAGATAATGAAATTGGAACGACAGGTAATAAGAGGGACGAAAAAAGAGAAAAAACCGACTGCACAACAGCAGCCAACGCGGAAAAGGCGGTTGAACTTTGTACACCCGAAGAGAAACAAGGTGCGTTGACAGAAAAACACAAAGAGAAGCGTCTTGAGGGCATACCAAACGTAGAGATTTCACAAGAATGCAGTTTTAAAGGAATTCCTGCAATTGAAAAGACTCTGTACATGAGGCACCGATCGTATTTGAATGCATGGACAAAGTGCACATCGTTCGACCAAATTTTCGATAGTAACGATTCGGGGTTGACCACTGCGGCGTTTAACGAAAAGGTTGGTGGACAAAAAAATGTACTATTATTGATCTTTAGCAAGAAGGGATACCTCTTTGGGTCGTTCCATTCATCCGTCCCAACAGAGCCATCGATGCTTAGAGACGACCCAAAGCACTTTGTCTTTTCGCTGTCCTCTCCGTTTTTGGAAACACCCACACAGTTTATGGGAAATGGGATATTGCACACACATAGTTCGGAGGACGACTCGACTGTGTTTGACTTGTTTTCAGGGTACTCAGTTTATGAAAACAACACCGTGATGGTCTACTCAACGTTTGCACAGGCTTACGGCTCCGACCCGAAGAACCTCCTTGGTAAGATAAATTCCAAAACAACAATCAACAAGTTAGTCGCATTCACTTGCATCTAATTGTTAATTGTTTTATTATTGTTTCGCAACACAACCCAAAAGCCTTTCAACAAAAAAATTATGTATCCACTACAATTATGAATAACTTGAAATGAGGGCCGATCGTGTCTCGGCCGAGAGTTGTGTGTGTTCCAGATTTTCAATTCTGGTTAGGTTTTCGCACAGCATCAAAGTGATGTCGTTCAAACTGTTTGGAACAACCAACTCATGCAACTGTTCGCAGTCTGTGATTCCGAGGTGTTTGATTTTTGAGCCTATCGCCGCGATTCTGTGCAAAGATGGGCAATTCGAAATGTCCAACGATGTGATTTGTTCTGGAACATCATCCACAACACTTAAATCGTTGCAGAAAGAAAACTCCATTTTTCTGAGCGTTTTGGGGTAGGACAGTTTCGCCAAACTCAAACAGTTTGAGACGGTCAAATCGACCAAATTATTTGGTAAAGCTTTAGTTTTGTCTGCAACCAATTTTGTGAGACTTTCCATATTTGAGTATACAACCGACGTCGACCTGATTGATGTGAGTTCTTGTAAATTTGGGAAATTGTCTGGCAATGGAGCAACGGTGTATTCCATCTGAAGTCTCCGAACGTTGTCTACATTAATTTCTTTTGAAAACTTACAACCAACAAAACGAGCATCCGTCCTAACTTCTTTCACCATCAACGCTGTGAGCAAGTGGCACGAATGAATGAATAAACTATCGACGCTATTCACTGAGAGTTGCGAAAGTTGTGTACACCTGATTATATCCAACTTCTTTATGTTGTCGAGTTTAATAGAAATGAGGGCACACTGCTCCACCTCGACTATTTCCACTGTTTTTGGAAATTCAAGGTCACAAAAATTACATTGGTGGAGCACAATTTTTTTCAAATTGGCTTTAATGGAAGGTGGGTAGTTATCACCAATTTTGCAGAGAGTCAAAGCAGTTAGTGAGTTTGGTAGTGCTGTCAAGACGTTGACTAAACAAAGCTCTTTCAATCCGATTTTCCTCACATTCTGAAGCGACGTAAATGCAGTGCAAGAGTCCACGGTGAGTGCAGTCAATGAAGTTGGGAGGATCAACGAGACGGGTTTCGTTGTCATAACATTTTTCAAACACAAGTCAGTCAAACACAAATTGTTTTCGATATTAAGTCGAGCAGATTTGTATTGTAACACCCTTTTATCGTTCTCCACAACCAACGAAAAGGTGTTATACTGTTTCATCACACTCGAAAAGTTTTGGCTAAACAACAAGTCTTGCGACACAAAAAGAGCTCCATCTTTATTTGGCATTAAAATGGCATTTTGCTTGACTACCGATTCGCTCAACTCATTTTCGATACAACACACTTTGAATTGTGGAAATTTTTGGAGTATCATCTGTACATCGTTTTCCTTCCCATGATGGATTTTCAATATAATTTTCAACTTACTGTTTGTGAGTGCTTTAAACGACTCCATCAAGTCTTTCACGTCCAACCCTATGATTCCAAGTATGAGTGTGTTCAACTTGGGAAGCGTATTCAAGCTTTTCCAGAATTTCATATTTTCTAATTGTTGTTCCATTGATACTTTTAGTGTTCTTAAGTTACACATCTTCGAAAACTGCACCTTTTCCTTGAACCTGATTTCCTTCGAGATTTTGACTACTTTATTTCGCAAGCTTTGGCAGTCTTTAAATCGGACAAATCCCCCGGTCAGATCGAATAAATGTATTCTCGAAAGATCAGCGCTTTCCATTTCCTTGAGTTGGTTGACGTCTGCGTGGATGGTCTCGAGACCGCTGAAGAGTTTTAATTCATAACACAAATCCTCCGAGATGGCGTATGGATTCGTTTTGAGCGAAGTTACTGCCTCCCCACACGTCCGACTGATAAGGAAAAACGTGTAGACGCACTCCGTTGTGGGGAGGTAAAGTACGACGTTCATCAAATACATCCGCTCCAACCGTGTTGTCATAAAATATTTTTTGTGTTCTTTTTTAGAAAAGAAAAGTAAAATAATTTGTTGTTGTTTGACTTGATATTTAAAAATTCCAAGAACGATCAGCGTTTTTTTTTCTCATTTTTTTACTTCGGCATTTTTTGTTTTTTTTTTCATATATTCCTATTTATAGTAGATTTGTTTTTACTTAATATACTGATTTGCCAAAGTATTTCTAGTATTTTGAGTTTTTGCACACAAATTATAAGTATAGTACATTTTTATTATAAATATTTTTGGAACAAAAAATAAAAAAAATACTGTCCTTATATAGAAATTTAGTTTTTAAGTAGTTTTTGGTACTTTTTAACTCATATCCGAAGAGGAAATAAAATGTTTTTTTGGCTTAAAAAAATATTTTATTTAAAGAATAAAACACTAATTATAATTTATAATACATTGTATTTATTATTTTAATATATATTTTTAATACTCAACATAAAATCCAATAATAAAAAATGTTGATTTAACGATTATATTACACGAGATGTTAACCCATCACTCAGTGACGGTAAATTTTTTATTAAGAAGATGTTTTTTCTGTCTTTTTCAACAATTATAATTTTGTAAATTTGTTTTGTTAATCATATTAAACACACAAATTTATTATGTGTATATTAATTGATAAATATTCTCTACATATCAATTAAACTTTTATAAAACGTGAGTTAGTGCAAATCTGAACATTCGTTTCTAAAAGATTATTATATTTTATGGTTGTTTTTAGTAAAAACATTAAATATAGTACATATTTAATTGTATAAAAGTATTGAGTATAACAACTGTAAAATAATGTTATTTTCAAAATAATGTTATTATTTGGCAATCATTTTTGAAGGATTTTTCAGAGAATAATATAATATTTCAATACAGTCGTATTAGGTCTATTTGTGATAGTAATTTTTATGCAAATGATACAATTTTTATAAAATGTACAACATTTTCGATAAAAATGATGAATTAATTAAGAAGTGAAAGTAGTTTGTTTGAAAAATAATGAGTATTTTTTATAAAAGTGATAAATAATCATAAAATGATGATAAATAATCGTAAAAATGATGGGAAATTAAATCAAAAGTGATGGATTTTCTCAAAAAATGATGCAATCTATAAGAAATTGACCAATAATATTTTGAAAAAGTTTATAATTTATGACACGTGTGAGAGATTATTTAAAAATTAAATAAACATCGTTAATTACAGAAACTTCCCGTCATTTTAAACAAAAACACAATCATTCATTAATCACTTCTATTATAAACAAGAGACCAAACTTCATTTCTACATTTTTCCATTTAAGCTATTACATTAGCGGGTTGGATATTTACAAAACCATTTTTTTATTTTGCAAAGCAGATCTTTCAACCCCGACCATACTCTGATTTTGTTTTCAACTTTTCGTTTTTATATTCCGAAAATGTTGTGTTCAATTTTGGGCTATAAACCGCATTAAAAATAACAACATAATGTGTATGTTCAATAAGTTGTTCTAAATTGTTATGAATGGAACAATTGTCGCACCAAAAAATAGCGTTTATATTATTATCATCATAATGTTTCATGACATCTTGTATATAACGATTGATTATTTCAGCATAACTTTTCCCAGCAACTATAAGGCTAAAACTCATGCCCATGTAGTCAATTGCGATCAATACAGAAAGTGGTTGACCATTCTTTGCCTTGGTGACAACCATTTTTTTCTCCAATGAGACTCCATCCACAACTAAAAGTACAGACTATTCTCCATGAAGACTCATCAGTGCAAACCCAAATGTATCATTGATGCATCATTCCGATCAACTTTTCAGTTGCTTCAATTCTTTCCTTTGTAATATGGAGTATTGGATACAGCTCCTCGTGTTGTTTTTTTCTTGAAACTTAATATGGAAATGTCCTCTCCGTTTCATTTCCCATTTTACCACGCATAAAGTTTGTAATTGAACTTACGGATGGTATTAAAGAATCTGAGAGATTAAGTGATTCTGGAGTAAGAGGTTTGTTAAATTTTATGTGATATCCAGCTTCAAACTCTTGTTCTGTAACACGAGAAACATCTTCTAAATTTCTGACATTTTCTCCTGCTGTAATATATTTTATATTTATATTAGAGACATATAAAATAATATATTTAAATGTCTTTTAATATTAGAGACAGACTCAGTACTATCTTTTTCGAATATCTTTTGAATAATATATTAAGATGTTATTACATAATTATTTCTTCTGTTGTGATTTTAGGCAAAAATGACTACCCCTTTCTCAATTTTATTAAAATTTATTTAAAGTGTCGACTTTAATACCAACTTTGATACCATAGATTTTTTGTTCAATGGTATCTCCATATTTTCGAAATTATTTAATTAATTCAAACTTGTCAAAAAGCAACACTCTTTTGTATAATCTTTTCACTTGTGTAATATTTGTTACAATCTTTTTTGGTCGTTCTCTTTTTCTTGTTTTGAATTGTGGTAGTATAAAAGGAATAATACGCTGTGATTCCACGGTTTCACATTGTGGAAGTTGTGGAGGATTTTAGATATGATCACTTTTAGCAATTAAATATCTTGTATCAATATATATGAGTGAATGATACATTTGATTATTGTTTAAATTAAAGTTTTTTTTAGTATATATATACGAATAACTCAAAGAAAAATCAATGTGAACATATCTTTGTATTTTAATTACAAAAGATGTGTTTAAACAAAATAAACAAAATAAACAAATATTTAAATGTGTTTATTTTGTTTTTGTTTAAAATGACGGGAAGTTTCTGTAATTAACGATGTTTATTTAATTTTTAAATAATCTCTCACACGTGTCATAAATTATAAACTTTTTCAAAATATTATTGGTCAATTTCTTATAGATTGCATCATTTTTTGAGAAAATCCATCACTTTTGATTTAATTTCCCATCATTTTTACGATTATTTATCATCATTTTATGATTATTTATCACTTTTATAAAAAATACTCATTATTTTTCAAACAAACTACTTTCACTTCTTAATTAATTCATCATTTTTATCGAAAATGTTGTACATTTTATAAAAATTGTATCATTTGCATAAAAATTACTATCACAAATAGACCTAATACGACTGTAATAATATTTATTTATTAAACAATTCTCATTTTCATTATGTATAACATTTTTAAAAAACAAATGTTTTGTTTATAAAAATATAATTGTTATAATTAAATTAATTAATTAAATATAAAAAAAATAAAAAATACAAAAAATACAAACAAATCAATTAATGTTTGTGAAATTGGTACGCGAGTTTCTGATTTTTATTTTTTGTTTTTTATTATTTTGACTTTTTTTAAATGACAAATTTTTTTAAATTAAACAAAGCAATTTAAGATTACATATTCAAACAACTCACTACAATCAGGGCTATCCAAATTAATCCACTAAAAGGCAAGTTAAGGTTTTTAGTGGAAAAAAGTAATAAAAAATAACTTTTTTATCAATTTGATCAGAAAAAAAGTGTTTTTTTGTATGTAAAAATTTCCCGCTTTTTTGGATATTTTAGTTGTATTATATATATTTTTTCCACTCTTTTTAATAGTTGTATAAGTAAAAATAAGTGAATGTGTTCATTTCTTCATTCAAACCCGATTTTAAGTATTAATATATTTATAATATATTTGCCATTGATTCTAAAAAATGTCAAACCATAAATTAATTTTCCCGATTTAATAAATAAAATAACCATATTTGAAAAAAACAATTAAACTGATCTGAAAACTTAAAGTATTGAAACACCTCGAGAAAAAGAGACTCGAAAAAACAATGTAAATATTAAATTTTTTATTTTATATCAAGAACAAAAGAAAATGTTTGTGATGTTAATAACTTCGGCCGTATAGTTCAAGTTTAAACAATTTTATTGACCAAAAGAATTTTTACTAAGTTTTATTGAAACACATTAAATGTGGCAACAAACTATAAAAAGATTAATGAATAAACATGTGTTTGATAAGAGAAATTGGACACAATATTTTGAGTCAAAAAAAATAAGAGAATAAAATTGATTTCGATTAGCTCCAAATTTTGAACTAAAGTGACTTCCCAAGGTGTGCAAGTTAGTTTAAAGGTGTGCAAGTTAAGGTATAGTTCATTTATAATTTTTTTATCAAAAAAATAGAATCATTAATTTTTTGAAATTTTGAAAAAAAAGATTATTTTTAGTTTAATTATTAATTATAATTTTGAAGTTATTACTAAACTATACTTTAACTTGCACACCTTGTGACGTTGCAATTTTAAACTTGCACACTTAGAATACAATAAATTAAGCAACAATTTCGGGAAAGCGACCCAATGGAAATTATCGAAGGACCAGTTCTGGACAACAGTACACATCGATTTGAGACAATGAACTGCACCTATTAAACAGACTATTTGTTATTGTTTGCTATAAAACGGCACAGAGAAAACATAATGTTTATCACATTTCTTTTTGTTGCTTCAAATCACGATGACACAAGAGACATCGACAATTATTCACGTCTTGAAACACAACAGTTTTTACATTAAACACATAGACAAACCATAACCCAATTTTTATAATTTAATTTGCTTTTTGTTGTTTATTAATTCAAGCACCAAAGGGTTGTATGTTTTTTGAAACAATTTGGAAACGAATAACATTTTTAAATAAAATGTTTTTCAACTGGAATTTAGTCTTTGCACGCCCTTCCCTGTAAAAAAGACTAATAATTTTAACTTGCACACCTTGGGGAAGTCACTTTAGTTGTGCTTTTTCTTTTGTTTATTTAATAATAATTTATTTTTTTGTTATTTAACTTATAAAAAAATTAAAAATCTTTTTTTAGTTTTTTCTTTTAAAATTGATAAAATATTACAGATAGAAGAAAAAAGAGGTGACAAGGATAAAGTCGGTGACAAAAATTAATGTTTTATAAAACAAAATAACAAAAAAATCAAAATAAAAATTTGTAAAAAACCTTTTTATTACATGGAAAATGAACCAACACTACCTGTCAATCCTCTCGCCCCAAATGATGTTCATGTTGTTATGCCTTTGAAGCTCGCGGACATTCTTTTTTGTCGCTTTCTGGAGCAAGTATCAGAAGATTTGGGCTCTGGAAAAAGCAAAAAATTGATTAGAGGACTTATGAACTATGAAGAAATGACACACAATGTTGAAAACGTGAAAGAACAATTAAAAGAAGTCAATCAATCAAAAAAGTTTTATTTTAAAAGAAGTTTTGTATGCACAACAAATATTGCAATTCTTTATATTTGATGAATTGTTTTTTCGCTTGGAAACCCGAAGGGAGCAAATAGCAACAGTCTTTTCAATTCTAAGAGGAGAGTCTTTTGTCATTTATAGATCAGTTGGAAATTTGTTCAATTCGCATCCAAGTATCATTCAAAAGACAATTACCGAATACAAGAAAGAACAAACAACTGGAAGAAGGACAACAATGGGAAGACCGACATTCTTTGACAAAAGAACCAAATTTTTAGCTGACGCATTTGTCAAATATTGCAATAATCAAAAAATAGCTTTGACATTTGCGGCATTCTCTAAACTGGTTGAAAGAACAATTGGAATGCCTTTTAAACAGATAACACGAGAAAGTGGGTTCTCAAAACGTTTGACCTCAAAACAATCGAAGGGAAACCGGAAGACATCGGACGATTATCAATAAACCCCGAGGACATCATAACGAATTACATGGAGATGGCAGACTTTAATGGTATAAATAGTGGTCTTGTCTTTAACATTGATGAAGTTGTTTTTCAAGACTTTTGCGACAAGAAAACCGTCAGAGTGCTTGTTCCCCAAAATGTTGACGTTGAAAGGATTAAGATTGGTGTTGGAAGAAGTGGTAAGAGATCCACTATTATCTGTATGATATGTTTGGATGGCACTACAGCGTGTCCCGGTGTTGTAGTGACCAATAAAACGCTTGATATTAAGCTGTTGTCAACGTTTTCTGATGCAACCTTTTTCACCAACAACACGGGATTTGCAACCAAGGAAATCTTCTGCAACTGGATGATTAATGTAGTGGTTGAATACATCAAAGCCAAAAGAATTTTACTTCGACTTCCACCAGACGCGCCTGCACTGATCACCATCGACGGTTTTTTCTGGACACAATTACGATGAGTTGAGTACACAATTGGCACAATCACACATCAAACTTCATAAGTAAATACCACACTGTTCTCATTTGGTGCAACCTTTGGATCTGTGCCTTTTCTGTTCAGTGAAAAAACAATGTTCAAACAGAACTCCCCTTTTCAAAACCTCTGTTTCATCTTCTGAATTGACGAGATCATTGCCTCCAACAACACCTTCCACAGTCCCAATCATTCCAAATACCTCATTAGAGCACAGAGGTGAGCAACAAGGAGTTGATCTCAATGTTGCAATTCGAGAAATAATTGGTTATTTAGCAAATGCAAATAACGTGGCAACAGACGCAATTCGAGAGAGAGGACAGAGAATGGAAAGTGGGAAGAGACTTACCAACACAATTACCACAATATTGTCAAACATCGACAGAGCAGCAATACATGAGACCATTATCGCGTCGTTTCAGAGGGCAGTAATGGTTTCTCGTTATGTTGAAGGCGCTTTCCGCCTTTTCATTGATATAAAAAGTGCTTCTAGACTTGTTGAAGAATTTCAGACTTTTTTTCCAGACAACAGTATTTCCCAACCAAACAACAATGACAAAACTCACAGCTCCCAACAACAACGTTAATGTCATTAACATCGCAGACCTTGACCCAAAGCAAAAAAGGATGACAAACAAAACAAAGGTCTGCCACATCAAAGCAATGGCAGAGTCCATTGTCCTCGATCCATCCAACGAAACTTTAAACGAACCCATTCTTTCAAGAATAGTAAGATTATACAGAGAACAACCCCGTTCTAATGAACCCATGAGACTGTTCCCCTATTACAATTTCCAACCAAACTCGTTGGAAACCTTTGATCTCGATGACAGTGACTGGGAGGGTCTTAATTGAGTCTCTATTTTCTTTGAATCTTGGTTTTCCTTTTTTAAGTTCTTTTTTATTAAGATTGTTTTTTTCTGAAAAGGTTGAATACACTTTTGCATTTTTTGTGTTATTAAAATTCTTGGTCTTTTTTTGCCTCAATTCTTTGGAAAACAACGAAAAAATAGCAAAAGTGTGTCGTCACCTACTTTACCTTTACCATCCATTTATTGGGATTAATAACCCATACCAATAGAGAAAAAACATTTAACTGGAAATATCCTCGAAAAAAATGGGTTATTTGTACTTTGTCACCGACTTTATCCTCCATCTGTATCATTTCTAAACTCGCCCTTTAGCCGAATTTGGGGAACCCTGCTACAAGTATGTAGTCTATTTTGTTACAAGTTTGGGAGAGAAATGAATAAAAAATGATTAAATTTAAAAAAATACAAGACATTTTCGTTTTAACCTTTCAAACAAAAATGGTTCTTTTTAAATAAAAGAACCAAATTTATAAAAAATGTTTTTAAAAATTTAAACTTGGTGTTTATGACTTTTTTTTACAAATAAAATTATTTTATTTTATTTATAACAATTTGTATTAAAAAAAAAAATTTATTAACAATAATAAAAATCATAACATTTGTAAAATTAAGAAAAAATAAAAAAAAATATTTATAATATTTTTAGTTATTTTTTATTGTTTAATGTTTTAGGTTAAAAATTCCAAGATTGCCACATAAACAAGATTCACAAATCTCATATTAAAAACAAAAAAATAATTAAAAATAAAATGATTTTTTTTGTTAATTAAAAAATTAAATGAAATCAAATGAAATTAAAAGTTTCAAAATATGAAAATATTCTTTTTCTCCATAAATTAAACATTCAAACTTATTTTAAAAAAAATGACCAAGACAAATAATGCATTTGATAACCACAAACTTGAATAAAGCTTATAATTAATAAAGGGGATGTATTATTATCTAAACACTATAACAAAATACATTTGTGTGGAGAATAGAAAGGGTTTTTATTACCATTGAACTATAAAAATTGTAATGGAGAACCTCATCAGCCAGATCGACTCTACTCTTCTTGATATTCTTCACGAAGAGCGCGTGCGTGATGTCCATCATTCTTCTCAAAATTTTGTGTATGAAGTTATAGAGAAATTTGTGTTGGGTAAAGGTAAGCGTCTACGTCCTTTAAGTATACTTGCATTTTACAAAGCCGCTGGTGGTCGTATGGAACAAGACAACAAATACCCCAAACATATTTTGCGTATAGCAGCGTGTATGGAATTGGTCCATGACGCGACACTAGCCTTCGATGATTTTATGGACGAAGACGAGTATCGCCGCAACTCGAAAACAATAGTCAAAACGTTTTTTGACGACTTTAAAACCTCGAACAAAACCTCACAAACTGCAACATTTCTTTTTGAAACGGATTGTGCAAATTATGCGACTTCACTTGCTATTTTGGCAGGTAACATTTTGTACTCCATTGCACTTAGGGTTTGCCAAGAAGTCTCATCAGACGTGTTAGTCAAAGTTATGGACCTCTTCATCGGGCTCAACTATGGACAAATCATCGACTTGAATAACATTACTACACTTGAAGATTACAATTTGAACATTCTCTTCAAAACCGCAATCTTTTTCAAAACAATTGCATCAATCGGACTCACACTTGCGGGAAGAGGAAATGAATCAATCGAACTTGGAAACGTGTGGGGAGAACATTTCGGTTTGGCCTTTCAGATGCGCGATGACTTGTTGGACATCGATGCTCATGACAAACAGCGCAGTGTTGGGAGTGATTTACGAGAGGGGAGAAAAACAATCATTGTGTGGACGGCGCTTGAAGATGGTATACTAGAAAGTAGTGACAAAACCTTTGTCAAAGAGATGATAAAACTTCAGAGCAAAGCTTTGAACGACGAAGTCAAATTTGCTCGTTTAATAAATATATTACAAGGAACGCCTGCAATGAAAGTGAAAGAACGCATATTAGAACATCACAAACTAGCGACAGAAGCGCTTCAGAAACTCGACTTGGAGCAAGAGATGTATGAGTTCATTCAGAAGATGACAGACTTGGTGTTAAACTGATTTCGAATACTTTCAAATTGACTTCACTTATTTACGCTTAAGGTCCTTCTTGTTATCTGGCCACTTCAAATGGATAAATGAAAATCCCTAGTATGTTACACTTCATCTCTTTCTATTCTATACTTATTAAAAGAAGAACTATTAATGTATTATACCGCTTTCAATATATAATTCTTGAGACTTGACTGTTAAGAAACAAACAACTGGGTTCTCTGACGTGTCGTAGTGGTTATTGAAATAATTTTGAATCACATTATATCCTATCGCATAAAATCCACATTCGCTTTTGAGACTCTCATCGACGGGTTTGTAGAACACTTCTTCTATGAGTCTTCATGTCATTTCTTCTTCAAAAATAAGAAGAAAACAAACGAGTCGGTCACCTTATTGATTTTGTACTTAAACGATTCTTTACCACAAAAAGCTACTACGTTGACGTCCATCAGTCCTTGGTTGTCTCTCTCTGTCACTGAAGTGAATGTGACTCGACACTCACTTGCAGTTTTCTCAGTAATACCATTTGGCAATTTGTACAAGTACTTCAAGTAGTTGTCCACGTTATACGTCAAGTTAGTTTCGGCATTCCAGTGGACGAATGCATGTTCGTTGTGACAATTAGTAAAGTCTTCTGCTGAGAATATGACTTGGGTGCTATTTGAGTCGCTGTAATATTGTAATGAATGCCCGGTCGACGCACCTTCGTCTCTTACTATGAAAGCGCCTTTCTCGTCACTTCTTGGGATCGGGTAGTCGTCGTCCCACCCAACAACAATGACACTTTTTAATCTTCCCGTCGAGATGAGTACATTAGGTCGGTGATAATTACCATCGTACGTTCGAATTGGTGTGTCTTGATAGCAACATTCCGTGAAGAGGTCGTCAATGCATGGAATGGTGTGATTTTCACAGCCATCTCTTTCTTTCAAATTTACATACGTTCTATCCATAAAGTCATCGAATGTGAGTAACAAGGGTTGGTGGTATATCGTCATAAATCGTTTGGCTTCATCCACAAGAAGGGTTGAATTCATCGCACTAACGCCTTGGACGTCGATTTCTTTTGGCTCGAGATTAGGGGTTCTATACTTCAAACTGTGTTTCACTGGGGTTGTACATTTCGAAGTTGACCCACATAATAAGTATTGTACAAGTGGCCCAATAGTACTTGTGGCTTGTGAATGGTTATACTCATCACACCAGTACACCTTTTTATCACATCCTTCCTTCACAAACTGTTTGTCTTCTTGTGAGTATCATTGAGAGTTATTATACTAGTTTAATAGTTATACAATTATAGTAATAAACAGACAAACAGTCGTCACAATCAAAACTATAATCCGACGCTTTGGGTTGTTCGTCAGGTTTATACTTTCCGTAGTAATATATCCCAACAAGGTGCATGAAGTTCAATAAACTCATTGACATGAATGCAAGTGGAGCCTCAAATGATGAGAGGCAGTTACTATCTGCGTCATTCTTCTGGTACGGCATTGCTATTTCCAACGTTGGAATGAAGTACGATGATGGGAATCTAATAAAGACCGATTGGTACTCTGCCATATTTCCGATATCATCGCTAAGCATTGTGAATGATATAACAGAGACGATGAATATCCCAATTTGGAGAATGAACAGAATCACCCACAAGATGATCAGTGGGATCTTCGACGATTCAAAGATGTCCATTTCTTCTATTCTTTTTTAGTTTAATTTCTTAATAGTTGATTCATTTCTAACTATTAGATATAACAAAGTTACTAAAAACATTATAAAACAATGAATTAATAAAATTGGTATATCGCAACACTCTGAAGTTCACATGTCTCTGGAGATGTACAATCACAGAAGACAATCCCTCCTTTGAGGGACCGATCTCTATAATAAAATTTGAAGTCATTTGATACCTCACAATACCCTCTTTTGATCTCTATAAAGCCACTAATCTTAAATAACAATTCCTCAATGTTGTCATCTTTGAATGTCCACGTCACCTTTTTGAAATTGAGAGGAAGGTACCTCTGAATGGTGTTCGTCGGGTTCAGTAACGAGAACACAAAACACTGAAAGTCTTCTTTGACTCCTTCCACAGTGACTTGGACACTTTCATATGCCCCAAAGATGCATCCCTCTACTTGAAAAAGTACGACCAACCCACTCTTGTTCTTCATTAGATTCTCAAATGAGCAATTGTCATATGTATTAAACTTTGCAAGCTTCACACAATTCTTTTTACCTATCCACGACGCAACCTGGACAAACCGTTGTGACCCCCCAAAGTCCTCTGGATCAATTGATGTTCCAAACTGGTATATACTATGATGACAATATATTTCCTTTGCGACATATGTTGGACTCGTTTTTTCCTTTAGTTTGAGTGCGTCGATTGCGCTCTTTATTTTCGGTGTTCGTGACAACTTCTGTGTTTGCAAGACAGTAATGGGGGATGGCGTTTTCGTTACGTCTTGTGATGGTAAAATTGGTTTATTCTTATCGTTCAGTGTTTTCTCCGGTTTCAACGTGTTTTGTGGTGGTTCTTTGTTATCAGATGTTTCACTTTGTGTTTGTGAACTGTTTTCACTCTCATCACTCCGCGTCTCTGTAACTTTTTCATTCAGTGGTGGCGTTTGGATTTGTTCCTTTACAGTTTCTAAGTGATCCACTGAAGAAGTTGATTGCTTTCTCACATTAAAGTCCTCTTCTTTCATCACCGAGAAAGTGGTTTGAATGTCCAATGAAGTGAGTCGGTCTGTTTGAGGTCGATGGTTCAGTTCTGGTGACGTCACTGTTTTTTCTATTTGTGGAGTTCGAGGCGATGGTGACGGGGATGGCGAATTTGAGATACTCTTTCTCTTATCAAATTCTGATGAAATCGACTTTTTTTGCATTCTCTGAACACGGACGTCTGTTTTTCGACTGAGTTCGAACACCACGGAATTCTCGAGTTTTTCAGCCGCTTTTGTTGCTTCACATTTTGCGTTTAAAAAGTCGAGAGGTATCTTTGAGACTTTTTGATCAATTATTTTTTTATCGTTCTGTTCTATTGTATTTGGAAGACTTGATGGACTTTCTTTGTTAAGTCCTTCTTGTGCTTTCTCTATGATACTTTTAAGAATAGTTAAATACATTAAAATTGGAATTTCATCACTACATAAGATAACTTCCTCCGGTGTTATAATTTGTGGCATTTTAACATCTTCCTCGGCTTTCTTTAAGGCAGTTCGTATTCGTTCTAATTTGGCAAGGTCGTCCGCGTGTTGCACTGGATAACCATACTTTTCTAACACTTCACAAAAGACAGACCCGTCACCCCATGTCATGGTTATACCCTGAGACGCTAACCACTGCTTTGTTGGCTCACAAAACTGAGTCAAGACTACGCCTATAGATTCTTCAGGGTTCAAATTGTGGTTTAAACATCGAGAGACACGCTCCAAATTAATGTCTTTGACCTCTTCTATTGGATCACCGGGAAGTTTATAGTTGTTATTGTAACGAATTAAAACTGCGTATCTGGTTGTGAGCATTTCATTTTCGAGTTAAGTTAACACTAAACCATTTACAACAAAAACTAATTTCAGTCTGCCAATTACTATATGTAGTTATTTTTTATTAATTATTATAATTAATAAATTATTAGTTAATTAATACAAAATGTATTAGTTTATTATTACTTTAAATTATACAAAAAATAAAAAATAAAGCTCACGTTTTAATTAATAGAATTTCAAACACACCAAAAAAATTATATTATAATTTTAACTATTATTTAATTATTCTATTACCATGTTTTTTTTTCAAAAACCAATCAAAAACTACTATTAAAAAATTAAAAATAATAAAATAGATATTATACTATAATAATATAATAAATTACTAATACATTAAGTGATAAAAAGAGAAAAAAAAATTAAACATATTATAAAATATATTAATAACTTTAATACATTATTTTGTAAAGTAAAGTGACAATCCAATAGTTGAACTACAAATTCCAGAAGTAATGGATGTCAATAAAGTCTATCAACTGACCGACACATACTTTTTATTTCTAGGCGAAACGAGCGCGATGGTTGCTGACCCATTCAAAAATGTAATAACATGTGAACTGGATCTCTCCACAAACATTGTTCTCCGTTATGAAAACACGATCACCTGTAATGGCGCGCACATTTGTGCCCTTTCCAAAGATGGATTGGAGTTATACGATTTAGAGGATGGCGTTATGAAGTACCTTGGGTTTTTGGATAACCCCATTGCAATCGGCGGAGTCAAAAGAACATTCACAGACGCCACATTCTGTACCGATATGATAACATTCTCTGATACCACCGGAAATGTCGTGTTTCTCGAGTACCCTTCCATGAAACTGATATGTAATGTCCACCTTATTGATGCTCCAATACTCTTCTCAAAGTTCGACGAGAGTAAAATGATGTTATACATCATCGATAGTAATAACACGTTTTACGCAATGGAGCTGAACAACACGTCATATCTATTGAAGAGAAAATACGTTGAAGAGAAATTGGACACATTTGTTGTCGCTCCTATCACCCCAACTGGACTGAAAATAACTCCGACTGGTTGCTTTGTGTTTGTCAGTGGGAAAGTGTTGATATACATCAAGGACATCCCATCACTCCGGCTGTTAGACACAAAGGATGATCAAGAAGTTAAAGAAGCCATGTGCAATGGAAGCACCGTTTTACTTGCCACACTCAAATATGTGTATTACTTTGATTTGAATAGCGATACATGTCTGGATACATTCAGGATCTTTCCATTTGGAAATCCTCGCGTGGTGATGCTCGCCAACAACCCATACCCAATGGCAATGAGTTATATTGACAAAGCCATCCGCCAAGCAAAAATCCCAGATATCAATTCCAAAAGAAGACTGTCGACGATCAAACAAACACAGATGAAATTCAAATCAGTGAAAATGTCTAAAGACACAACGATCATGAAGTTGGCGCTCTCGGCTACAAGAGACGTCTACGGTATTGATTCGTTGGGGCATGTCTATCACGCGTCACTCCTCAAGACGAAAACACCTAAGCCTGAACCATTTGGAGATGTTGGGAATATTGTCAGTGGTAATTTGTCCTGTTTTTTGACTGCAAATAATTTGTATGGGGTGTTCACATCGGGGACGGATGTTAGAGTTGCGCATCTCAAGACACACACTCACGTTATAACACCATTTTTTGCAGATGTGGACAACAAGAATTATGTCACTTCAATATGTGGGTGTGAGGAAAATTGTTCGTTGATTGGAGTTGGCACACAAAACGGAGAAGTGTATGAAGTTGACTGTTCGCGAGGGAGGCAAGTGTTAGTACAGAAACAAGAGAGTCCGATTTTGTATACCAAGTACCTTGGTCCGATATTGGCTTCGATATCAGTGAAAGGTGTATTTGAGGCGGGTACTGAGCACAAAGAGATAGCCGAAGACCCGATATCATTTGATTATCACAACGGAGTGTTGTTGGTAGTGGAGACCAAACGAATTACAACGTACAAAATAGACAATTGGGATATTGAGTCGAATTGGGAGTCTGACAGTTGTGTGATCACAGCGAAGTTTTCTGTTTGTGTATTCTATTTATTCTATTTGATTATTAAAGAATGTTTCATACCGAACGTATTAAGAAATAGTGCGATGGTGAATATGTAGTTGTACTTACAAAGGACAGGATTATGTATTTGAAAACTAAAGACTTATCAGTCTTTAACTATTTATCGAATTACTCTGTCCAAAGCATGATGAAGGGGTACAACACCGATGTGTTTCAAATGGACGTTTCACCAAACACGCCATGTCAAATTGTCATTTCTTTTGTTGGTGGGAATGTGATGTTGATAGAGCCATCAGACTATACGAACTGGAATTGAGTATATTTATAACTTATTTTTAGAGTTTCCCACAAAAGATGAAGAAAACGGGAGAAAAGGAGGAACCGGAATTTAATAAAAAATTGATGTGACAGAAATCACTTGAGAGTGTCAGCAAGCCAGTCAAGACCTTCATAGAGCCCGTCGCCGTTTGTAGCGCAAGATGTTTGGCAGTACCACTTTCTGTTCTTGATAGTTTGAAGGCCGAGTTTTTCTGTGACTTCTGAGATGCTCATAGCTTGAGGAAGATCATGTTTGTTAGCAAAGACAAGTAATACAGCATTTCTCATCTCGTCTTCATTCAACATTTTCATCAGTTCTTCTTTAGCTTCAGAGATACGATCTCTATCATTGGAATCAACTACAAAGATGATGGCTTGAGTATTCTGATAATAATGTCTCCAAAGAGGTCGAATCTTATCTTGTCCTCCCACATCCCACACAGTGAATGAGATGTTCTTGTAATCAACTGTCTCGACATTGAATCCAATAGTTGGGATGGTCGTCACAATCTCTCCTAACTTCAGTTTGTACAAGATCGATGTCTTCCCGGCAGCGTCAAGCCCAACCATCAGAATTCTCATGTCTTTCTTCCCAAGTAATTTGCTCAACCAGCTCCCCATTCTCTCTTTTCCAGTTCCTTTTTCTTGTTTTGAATCCATTTCCATCTCTTGTTCAATGCGTTTCTCTTGGGATTGTCTTTCTTTTTATAAATTATTATTTATATATAACATTTTTTGGTTATATACATAGTTTTATATATAAATGGTACCAAGTAGAGTTGTTTTCGCATAGAAAAGTTAAGTTCTTTCAATGTGAGATAGAAAAGAAGTCCCGATCATTTTCTATATTATTAGTTATTAAAATATCACAGTTAATATAGTATAATAAGCATCTATTTTTTCGGGATTGTCCAGGTAGGGTTTCTTTTTTTAAATTATTTTTAATTGTGTTTCAATTATTTCAAACTATTCAAATTTTTTTGAAACTAGTTTTTTATAATTTGTTATAGTTATACAATAATTATTTTACAAATATAAAATATGAACGAATAAATTTTTTTTTGTTTTCAAAACACTAATTCTTGGGGTTTTATATAACTCGTAATAGTATATCGATTAAGATATATTATTAAAGAATTTTTAAATACAATCAAGTAAAAACTATTATTATTTTATTAATATATTGTAAATCATAATCGCGTGTTATAAATTTACTTGTTGTTTAATAAAAAAATACTATCAAAAAGAACTAAAAACGATCTGATTAGAAGTCTCTTCCATAATCATATTCCATAGTGGGAATGACTGTTGTTAAGAATTTCAAAAAGATCATGAGATACAAGTCGACTCTTGGATTCTTTCCTTCCTTCACCATCTCGTCGACTCTTTTCTTCATGACTTGTGCATGTCTACATGGATGGATATAGATTTCCTTGATCTCCAAAAATGGATGGGTGTCAGTTGTTGCTGTTTGACCTGCGTGTGTTGCGCTTAAATCTTCGAACATTTGTGTTTCGCTGAGTGGTTTATGGTCTTCGTCGTATCCAAGTAACCACACTTTTGGGGTTCTATCAAAGTGCGAGTAAATGATTGAAATGTCGTAAGTCCTCGTCGTCTTAATTTCTTCGGTTGCAATTGTTGTGTCTTTCTCGTCGGAGATTTCGTCTGCGTCTACGATGTCATCAGCATCAACTATCTCATCCGAATCCTCCTCACAAACCTCTTCTGGTTTTTCTTCTAAAGGTACCTCAAACTCCTCTCCATCAATCGTACAAACTTCTGTCTTAGCAACAGGTCCTCCCTGTGCGCGAATAGCACAGCGGATGTCCCGAGTGATCAAAAATTGTTTGTTGGCGGGCAGGTAATCCACAGTCTTCTTACAGTCAGCGGAACCAACCCATTGCCAAGTGCGGTACTTGTCAACAAGAAAGTCTCCCGCTCGGACAAACTCCTCTGGCGTCAAGACTCCTTTCTCAATAAACTGTGATTCGGTCAACGTTGGTTTGAGGAGGTCGACACTTTTTGTGTATGTCTCGTATGCTTTTCGTTTCAAGTCGGTCAACACAGACATCTTCGCCCCTTTTATATGAAATTTTCTAGTTCCGGTCGGAATAACAAGATTGACAGAATGAGTGATTGAGTTCAAATCATCATCGTATATACCAGTTCAATCATTTTATCGTCACTTTTTAAGATCTTTTTATTAAACTAGATTATAATTTAATTTTATTATTATTGTATTAAATATAACAGATTTTATTTTTAAACAACAAAAAACAACTTTTTTTACAACAGCTACAATTTTAAGTATAAGTTGGATTTCTTTTGGTTTGAAACTATAGTAATATAATAAAAGTACCATTTATTAACTACAAAACATAAATCGATACAATTATGTTTTAACTATTGTTTTTGTAGTCGTTTTGAATTATGATGAAAATAAGGATACACTTTAATGAGAATTGATTGAGAGAATAAGATTGAAATGGTAAAAGGAGACATAACTTAAAGCGAAAAAAACAGATACAATTACAGGTTTAATATTTCCAAGCAAAGTTATCTTGGTCTGAGCTTTCGTCCTCACTCATGCTGTCAAAGATGCATTGATCCGCAAAACACGAGTCTCCACGCTCAAAGGGGTCTGGTTGAGTGGAGCGTGGAGGGACAATACAGTCGTCGGCGTATAAATTGACATCGTAATTTATCAACACGTTTGGTCTTATGACGATTGGGTTGAAAATGTGGATGGTGTTCATTGTTGGGTGAAGTGAGAAAAGAAGATCAAAAGCGCTTTAAATGAGTGCTTTTGTTTTTCTGCAAGACTTCCGTTTCGCATTCCATTTCCATTTCAGGGATGGTTATGATATAGTTTTTTAAGCTATTTCTATTAGTTTTTTGGATTCGGTGCTTTTTTCAAAGAAAAAAATTGAAAAGTGAAAAATACAGAAAAACGCTGTTTATTTTTACTTGGCAAAATCCGAGGAAAAACGCCAAATTACTGTTTTTTTCTGGACTATTCGACCATTTTGCGGCATCCGCCATTGAACAAGCACTTCCCCATTCGACTTTTTATTTTTTCCAAAATGAACTTTCTGAGAAGCTTTTTTCAACAACAAAGCCAAAAATAGTCGCTGTTTGGTGTTTTTTTTCGAATCTTTTTCATCTGGAATTCTTCGGCTTTTTTTCGAGATCTTCAATCAATGATGAATTGTATTGGTAATGTTCCGCATTAAAACGGGATTTTCGGCATTTAAAAAGAATCCTGTTTTCTTGACAATTACACCGCTGTTCTGATTGGTTATTTTCGCAATTCAAAAAATCACATAAATTAAACTTTTTTGGGATAAGTTAACAATATGTATAAAATGTTTCATTTCTGCGCAATTGATCGGGAAAATGACAGTTTTTTATTTGTATTTTTAAATTTTTATGATTTCAATCTCAAAACTAACTCGAACTTGTAATTTTGACTGCCATAAATTCCATCGTTTTGTTTAAATAAATTATGGCGAATATATACAGGAATTTCGGGAAATGTACTGTACTATAAAAAACAAGTCAAGTATTTAAAAATAATAATTAATATAAAAAATTGTGCCATTTATTATAATAAATATTAGTAAAGTGGTATTTGAATTTTAAATAACTTATTTATATATGAATAAACAAAAAATGATATTATTTATTATATAAAAAATACTAATGTATTTAATACACGATTTTACAAACCAATTGTTTTATTAATATAATTCTAATTTTGAATTATTTTTTTAAAAAAGAAGTCTTAAATAATTTTTTGGTTTCAAAAAAAAAATTATAGAGCCAATCTTTTAGTTATTTTGAGTAAAAATACAAAACACAACAACATTGTTTCAATTTGTAACAACTTTTTAGTGTTATTTATGTAATAAACAAACCGTTTTATTAAAATTGTATAAAGTAAAATATAACATTTTATAGTAATAAAAAAGTAATATAATAAAATATATTTTGTTCCAAAACAAACCTTAAACGTTTATAAACACTTCTCTATGAACTTGAGTGACAAAGCATTGGATAATTATTATGATTATTTATTACATGATTTAATGAACATATTTCTATTCTGTTTACAATTTTATAATAAAAAGAAAGAAGATTGTACATAAGTAATTTAAACAAATGTATTCTTTTATTGAATATATAAAAGGACATACCTTTTTTATTTAGTTTATTTATTTATTGACTACATTATAATTTGAGTTTTAATAAAATCCAATCTTCACTTTAACGTTCAGTTATGACACTAAATTATATTTTCTCCAGTTTGTATAGCCAAAAGTTTAAATTAACTTTGAAACACTTTTTATATTTATGTATATTAAATACAATAATAAAGATAATTCATTGTATCATCATATTAATTTAACACACAAATCCATTTAAAAACTTGTAATACCCAATTATTTCAAGCTGATTATTAATAAAGTTTATATTGTAAAGTTCATTTCCTTTCCAAATTGAGAAGTAGTTATAAAAACTGTAAAATAGAGCCGCTTGTTATTTATTATAATTTACAAATCAAATTACAATAAATTTAATTTGTAAATTATATATTATTTAATATAGTTGATAAGGAAGTGCAATGAATTAATCTCTTAATTATCTTTCAAACATATATAAATTGATGAAACTCTATTTCAAAAAAATTTATTATTTCTTTATTAAATAAACAATTTCATTTTTTATATAATTTTTATTAATTTTTAAATTATAAGTGTTTAGTTTTAAATAGGATACTTTTATAAATAAATTATATTATTATGTATAATAAAAATATGAAAACTACATTTTGATTTATTATTACTATCTTGTTGTATCCTGCCCGATTATTTGCACAATTTATTACTGTTTTTCTTTTGTTTTAAAAAACGGATATCCTATATTTTTTTAATTACTTTATACTATTTTTATAATAACTATTATTTTATCGCTAATGATTTCGATTATTCTTACAAAAATACATCAATTTTGTAATGAATTTTGTTATTAGTTTATCACATCAACAAATACAGCATTAGTATATTTCTTGCACCACTCAAGACAAATAATAATACTGTAGTATAAAATAATTATAGTTTAATTCATAAATACTAATAAACAACAATTAACGAGGTAAAAAGCAACCAAATGATAAAAATTGCTATTTGTATATGATTTTCCCAATAATTTGCTTTAATAATCCTTATTGAAATATATTTTTAGGAGTGTAAAAAAATAATCGAACCCCTTGATTAAGTCGAAGACTCCACCAATGGAAAAAGACTGAACTTTCGTCGACATTTTTCCAAAATAGAAAAGTCAAAATAGTCTTTCCACAATTCGTGGAATGCAAGAAATGTCTGTTTCTCTTACTGTAAAAGAGACAAAGTTGAAGAAGTGACACGGGAGTGACTTTTGTTTGAAACCCCAAACTTCCGTTGTAAAAAATTGTTATTTATTTTAAAAATGAATTCTTCTCAATGAAGTAGAATTTCAACAAAATAGAAAGAGCCAATATTTTGCTCGTAAAATGATCTCTTCAATTAACTTTATAATTCATATGTCGACAGTTCTGTATCCCGTTGTTCCTCAAATGAATACCAAAGACATCCACGCCGTCATCGATGGACATATCGATGACGATGAAATGGACTCAAGTTGCGACACACAACACGATAAAGTGAATGGCTCGCCGGAGATCACTTCATACACGGAGATACAGAAACAGTTTGTGTTACTTCAAATAGTTGGTAGAGGTGGGTTTAGTGTTGTCTATAAGGCGCTCCACAAAGCTTCTGAGGAAGTTGTTGCACTTAAAGTGATTGACAAGTCTCTAGTCAACACAACGCAGTTGCAGACTTTAAAGCGCGAAATAGGATTTGCGAAGTGTTGTATTCACAAGTACATTCTGAAGGTCTACGACATCTTTGAAGACGGAGACTCAATTTACGAAGTTTTGAAATACGCAAAAGGAGGCAATTTGTACGAGAGAATTACACATCAAGTCTTAACGGAACAACAAGCGCAATGGGTGATGTATCAAGTGGCATCTGCAATATACTACTTGCACTCCAATGGCATCTGTGATAGAGACATTAAGCCGGAAAACATTCTGTTGATGGACTCGTCCTCTTTAAATGTCAACTTGGTCGACTTTGGTCTTGCAAAGAAGTTTGTTGGGGACGTCCTTAAAACTCCGTGCGGCACGTTTAATTATGCGCCACCAGAAATATTACTTAAGATGAGTCAATACACCCATTTGTGTGATATTTTCAGTTTCGGAGTAACATTATTTGTTTCGATGTGTGGGTATTACCCTTTTGATGGAGACTCGATCATGGAAAACGTACAACAAATGATCGAAGGGGACATCAACTTTGATGAAAGTGAATGGGACCGCGTCAGTGAAGAGTGCAAAAACTTCATTAGGAAGTGTCTGAGTGCAAATATAGAAAATAGACTTAATATCGAAGGAGTACTCACACACCCATGGTTGTGCGGTCACTCGGTATACACAAATCCCTATTTTCAGCCACTTCTTATTGAAATGAAAAGTGGGATAAGTGCGTTGGAAGAGGACAAGTCCATTTATATAGACAGACCAACCATGTAATTTATTTGTGTTATAATTAATAGTTTTTTCGAGTTTTAATTATAATTAAAATATTATAGTAGTTTTTTTATCATTATATAGAATTACAATAATAGTTTTTAATGAAGCTTTTGTTTATCTATAGTTTTAATAGTTTCATTGTTGAGACGTTTAATAAATTTGGTTTATTTTATAAAACTAATTCAATTTTTATTTCAGATATTACACTCAATTACCACTTCCAATATTTTTGTTCGTTATTGATTTTATCCAATATCAACGGTTATTCAATTAGCGTTTGAAAAGACCAATTAATTATTCTTCTCAACTGTTAAACTTATTTTTTTATAGTTAATAATTAAGTTAAACATTTAATTATTTATATAAACTGATAATAAGTGAACACATATTTGCTTTGCATTTTATATTCTTTTGAAAGATTCAAGTTAAAAATTAAAAATAAAGAGTGAAGTTTTTCATAATTCATTGGTGGCTTCATTTCTTTAATATTCAAAATACAAATAAATAATTAAATTACAATCATCTTTAATAACAATTCAAAAAATTTTGGTTGCCGTTTAAATATATAAAACAATTCACATTTAGTAATTAACATCATAAGTTATTATTGCTTTTGGTGTGGTTTATTGATTTTGATTATTTTTCTTCACTTCACTTGTTATGAAGTTTTGATTCTGCCTTTGTAAAAATAAGTTTAAACATATTGAATTAGAAAATTGTTTTCTTATGAAAAAGAAATAATGAACCCAATTCAGTTTTAAAACTCATGCATTTTATTGACTTGAAATAATAAACCAATTACAATGGGTGTTTAATATGAAGTTGTGTTGTTTTAATAAAAGTCGAATCAAATAATTATTAAATTCGAACACTTTTTTAGTATTTCTAAAATACTTAGATAGAAAAAACGGGATATTAGGAATTGGTTTTGTTTTTGTAAAGTTTTAAAAAACAAATGAAAATATAATTAGTTCAACCACTGAACCAAAATTAGAACAACGTGAAACCAATAAAGACCGCCTTTTGTTTTTAAACAAAACAAAAGATAAAACGGAGTTAATCTTTTTGCCAGCGTTACTTGCATCAATAAAAAACGCGTGAAAACTTTTATTACATCGGGAACATCTGGTCTGAACGAAACAATTTGGTTGTTTAATTATATTTTGGTGGAGTTTGACCATTCTTTTGTTTTTTTGTTTTATTGGTATGTTATGAATGAATTCATTTTGGTTTCATATTTATTTGTTTTTTGTGTGTTCTAGAATTATTGCATTGATGAACTACAAAACAAAAATACAAAGATCGTTACAATCCTGAACCACCACGCCTGATTTTCTATACACTTGAGCTTTTTCCCATTTTGATAAAACCAAATCGATCCAACAATGAATTTTTTAAAAATTACGACACTTCTTTTTATTCTAATAATAGATAAAGCTCTACCGAAATAAAATATAACTCATTTCTTTTGGCAAACACCATTTAAATAATGGTGATTTTAATACCGATATAATCATGAGCATTTTTGCCTTTTATAGAACTAAGTTTATAATCGGCACACAATCTGTACAATTCCGGGTTTGTTTGAGTTTCAAACAATATAGAATTAGATTAAATACAAACTTATTTTGTCCCATTTTGCCCGATCATTAGTTGTTTTATTCGCTGCCATAAAATCAATACCAATTGAATCATCTTTTAAAGGTGGGGTTACTTTCCTTTATGTAGTTGGAGACCACAACTTCGAAAAACTTGTTTATTTTGGTACCACACTCAACTCTAATATAGTTAAAATACTTAAAAGAATAGATTATAATTATTCCAGTTTCAATAGCAAATGAGCTATATATATTGTAATGCCTGATAATCTGATTGGCCACTTTTTATTTGAAAAAGAAACAACTAATTGAAATATTATGATCAAATTAAAAATATATTAATTAAAAATACCGTTGTTGCTCAACTAACTGTATTTATACCTTTTGAATACCACTATTTTCCCGGAAATAGCACCCCAAATGCTGAATAATGCGAAAAGAAGTACAAATATCCTTCAAAATATTAAGCGCCATTAATGGAAATAAGACGAATGGGGTTTTTTAGCTATGAATTTGTTTTTTCTTAAAAGGGTAGTCGGATGGCATATCTCGAATGCATAGTTCGCTGATGTCTGCAGAAAACAACTCCAGGCTTTTAGACTGCGCTGCGAAGAAAAAGAAGTACAAAGAGGACAAAGACAATGTTGCTTGTGAGGAGGCAATAATGCTCTATCTACTGAACAAATATTTTACTGTTACAATTTCTAAACCAACCAAACGGAATTCTATAACACTTCAATACATTCCAGTCATTGTCATTCAACAAGGCCGTGACTATGTTGATGTCAAAAATTTGGTAGAAGAGAGATGTGTGTGGCGGTCGCAGTTTGAACAAAACACGGGAGTGGATAAACGGTCTGCTCTCATTAGAATACCCGCAAATAGAGTGGTAGAAACACACAATTATTTACTTGACATTTTAACCAATTTGGGGTACCTCTTTGATACATACATTTCAACACCCAAAAGTTCGTCTATGCAAATACAGCACATTTCAAGAGTGTTTTATAATGGAGCATTGTTGTTCCAGACAGACGAAATCAGGAACTTCGGCACTAAAATACACGCAACTATATCAGCACAACTTTACGCATCAAATAAACAAACTCTGTCGTTGCAACAATACTCTATTTCTACCAATGAACATCTCACTTTATGACATTTAGTCGTTTCTTTTCAACATCGCGAAATTTACATGTGTTTAAATCATTTTTTTGTATCCCTCCAATTACCAACAAATCCGCCATCAACTCAATTTTACATTGTTACCAAACAAGTTGTTTTATATACCCCATCTGTTGTGGTCTTTTTTTAAATACTTTACATGAAAAAATCAAATGAAATATATTTGAACATTTCAAATATCATTGAAATTTGAACTGCGAAAATATAACTTTGATGTGGTAAGAACACGGTTTTACCATTATAAATAAGTAATATTCAGTCAATTATCATCAAAATGTGCTATATGTCCCATCGTTAAACACGTGGACATCCTTTGGGATCTTGTCATGTGGTATTTCGCACACCCCATCATCCCTCAAATTACATCCCATCATCCACGACTCTTTCGACCACATCGTGTTCGTTCCTTCGGGTGGTGATATTTTGAAGTAAATAGCGTCTTTGTGTGTCGCAAAGCAGACAACACAACACATATGCTTTAAACTAATCGACACCTTAACGATATTCTGATTCTCTAAAATACGCCTCACGTCATCTTCTGTTCTCCAATGTTGTGGGATATCACAGAACACAACAACGTTTGTTTTCACTGTCATTCAATATGTCAAAAGAAGGTGTTATAGGTGTAAATATCTTATTATATTATAATTTATATATAATTTATATATAATATAATAATATAATATAACAAACATAGTTTCAATGAAGTTCTTTTCTCGAGCCTATTCACTTCTTTTATCTCAGTATGTTGTTGCACTAAAGGCTTTAATAACGGTTTTGGTGCTTCGACTTTCTTCACGCGGTTTTTGTAGAAGAAATCGTCTTTGTCAGTATTATAGAAGTTATCTGCATTCATCAGTCATAGACCTTTTTGTTTTCTCAATTGTTTTCTGTTTGTTTGGAGTTACCTGATACCTTACAGTAGTTTGTGAGTCGTTACAATCTCTTTGGGTGTGTTGATCACTTGGGGTGGAACTTCTATAGTCCTTCGACTCTTTTGATTCTCTTTGATCTTTACTACTATAATGTCTCTGCTCATCTCGACACCCTTTTTTACTCTCAAATGTATGGCTTTCAAAAGAATCCCGCAAAGGACTTCGTGAAGGACTTCTTCCATTCCGTTGCTGCGGATACCTTCTTGGACTTCGTTGTGGGGACGTCCGAGGACTTCTTGAGAATGATCTTCTTAAAAAAGACTGTCGGTATTCTCTCGAACTTCTTCGTTGTGGCGATCGTGCGGATTGCCTTGACCGACTTCGTCTTTGTTCATCTACATGTAATGGACTTTGTGATCTACTTCTCCGTGGGGCATATCTTACACCATTTGACTTTGTATTTCTGAGTGATGTTCCATTCGATTCCTCTTCAGAGTCCAAATCTATGACATCTTCTTTCCGTAAATGACAATCTCCCTTATAAAATGATGAAGTGATCATCGCGATGATTTCGTCACAAACCGCTTCTTCAAAGACACCCGCCGTTCTCCACAATTTGACGTCTTGGAGTATCCCCCGTTTGTCTTTGTCGGGACACACCGCTACCATCCCCATAATTTCCATAATACGAAACGATAATCTCACAGACACCCGTCGCGAAAATGAAACGTTTTGCGACGAATTGGGATCGCACAGTAATGTGATGATCTCAACTATATAAAATCGACTCGACGGCCACACGTGTCTTATAAACTCTTCAAGGCGTGAAACAACAATTTGCGCCTTCATGTAAATTCAGTCAACACGGAGAATACTATTGTATTCTTATAAATAAACTATTTATATAGTATTGTAACAAACATCACCTATAGAATAACACAACGATACTATCTCCTTTGGACTGTACTTCAAATGTGGCATAGCATGAGCCATCTCACGAAACTTGGCCACTAGGGATCGTTCAGCTTCGTTCATTTCTGAATTTTTGCAGTTCCCCATCTCTTTCAAAACATTTTCTATTCTGTTAGTAAAAAATGTTATTTTATTGTTAATGTGTAATGGTTTTGTACAAATGGTTTTTATTTGTATATATATAATATTAGTGTCAAATCATTGAAACAGTAAATAATAGTTATTTTTATAATAATAATAGTTATAATGATTTGAAAGAAAAATGTTATTTAAATGTTATTTAGAAATCAATATCCCATCAACATCTCCATGTTGTTCATCTCTTCTTCGTCATTCACAATCTCGTTCTCAATCTTTCCAATCTCGTCAAAGAGTTGTTTGTTTTGCAAATCCACGATGTCCTCCAGATTTTCAAACTCCTCATTGTCCCAATCTTCGTCCCACTCAGTTTCATCGACTGAGTCATTTCCATCATTTCCGCTATTCAAACTGCTTTCATAAATTTCATGAGAAAAACTCACACACAAACTGGCGATTGCGAATAACAAAATTTTCATGACAAAAAAGTTTTTCTTTGTGAATGAAAAAAAGCCACGTGGCAATGTCGTGGAGGTGTCTCAGACCATTAACGTGGCAGTCTTATATATAATAAAGAGCACTTGAAAATTCATAAGAGAGTGTATGAGCGAGTGGAACAAGAATTCTGGATACGCAACATGGGAAGAGCGCGATTTCAGTAAGTGGGGGCGTGACAGGTTCAAAGATCTCTTCCAAGATGAGAATGGATGGAAAGAACTCAACTATAAAGGAACAGTCAAAGTCCCCAAAGTCGATGGTGATGTTCGTTTTCTGTTTATTTGTCCAATCAGGTAGGGTTTTGTGGTTCAAAGGTACAAACTATTGTTTTATAATAATTATATTATAATTTTATTATATTGCACTGTATTAATTAACGTCCTAGTTCTTCTTGCTCTTCTCCCATGGGAAAGTTAAAAACATCATCCACCTCGATGAAACTAAAATCATCTTTGCTTCGACAGAGAAGGACAACGCGTCGGGGTCAGTCACTATTGAAGTGGACGATGACATCGAATTCAAATTTGTCTATAAGACGAGACCAGACAATTATAAGGACTTCGAAAAGACATTCAAGAAGTATATTGAGGATAACATTGCGAAAATCAGAAAGGAATTGGCGGAGAAAGTCGAGTAATTTGTTGAATGGTGTGTTGTTTCATTTGATTTCTTATTTTTCTATGTTATAGTAATAATATTAGTATTTCGGTAGTATTAATGATTTGGTAACTTATTAGTTAAAATTACTAAAATGAAACCATTAGAGTGGTTTTTTATTGATTTCAATAGTGTGATGTTTAAAATGTGTTTTAATAAAATTTGTGAATGTTGTAATAATCACAGATTATTATTGTCACATTTTTTAATTGAATTATTACTTATATTAGAAACGATTGAAATGCATATTTAAAGATATTTTTATTAAATAGTAATTTTTTAAAGAAATAATAGTAATTTATAACAAATAAATTTAAAGTGCTATCAAAAGTCTAAAATTGATATAAAAATATTTAAAACAGTTAAAATAACAACGTTCTTATTTTTTTAATTAGATTGTACAATAAAAACAAACAAAAACATTGAAAGAATGCTTCTATTTCATGTTTTAAACAAGAAACATTATCGATACTATTTTTAATTTTCATTGTTTTTATTATTTTGTACCTAAAACTCACTGTTTTTAATTCAAAATATTTAAAATATACCTATTAATTGATTAAAATTACAAGTATTGTATGAAACATGAAACAATTTTTTATTGATAAAGTTATTATTGTAACTTAATAATTAAAGTATTTTATTCATTATGATAACATTGTTGTTATTGAGTTTATCTTGTGGTTTAAAGTGGTGCAAAGAAAGAAGGTCTCTCTTTTGTGTCACAAAGGAACGTGAATGCTCTCCAATGTATGAGTGGAGCATTGAAAGTGAAACTGTATATATTGGGACTTCACAAAACCAATTGTTAATTTATTGTGAAATACCAACAATACTTAATGTAATTTTTGAAGGTGCTAACGATTTAAAACTTGTGTTTGACAAGAATAATATTTATTATAATGTTACACGTGGTGATATTGATGATAACAAGACAAACAACAAACTGTCTGTTGAAACTTTAAAAAGAAGTTGTAATCTCACTGAAAATTGTGAAGAATGTTCTGCGGTGGAAATTACTACTGTTTGTGTTAGGTGCAAAACAGACCATTATTTGATAAATGGGTTTTGTTTTAAATGTGGTATAAATTGTATTATTTGTGAAGATTCAACTGGCAATTGCTTAAAATGTATTACTGATTATTTCACTGATAATGGTTTATGTATGGAATGTCCTAAACAATGTAGTGCAAATCAATGTTTAAGTGATGGTTGTACAAAGTGTATGGATGGATTTTTGTTGATTGACAAGAATTGTTTTAAATGTAAAGATCCATGTTATCATTGTTCTGGAACTTTAACGTCTTGTACTGCATGTAAAACAGAAATGTATTTAGAAGAAAACACATGTAAAAGTTGTCAATATAGTTGTGTTGATAAAAAGTGTAATCATGATAATGGATGTACTTCTTGTAAAGTCAATTTTGTACTCATTGGGAGAAGTTGTTATCCGTGCTATGATGGTTGTATTCAATGTACTGGAAAATCATACAACCAATGTACTGTATGTCAAAACAATTATTATTTAAGTGGAGGAGAATGTCGACAATGTGATAATAATTGTAATAACTGTTCAACAATTGAAGGATGTAAAAAATGTAATACTTATTATTTTGTAAAAGAAAAACGTTGTACTAAATGCCCTGATAATTGTTTCACTTGCACTTCAGAGCTATTCGACAGTTGCACTGAATGTGTTGAGGGGTTTTATTTGGAAGGAGGCGAATGTAAAACATGTGACACCAATTGTCAACTTGGAAAGTGTTCTCCAACATTCGGTTGTACATCATGTAAAGATGGGTTTTATAACACATCTTTGATTTGTAAATCTTGTGATTCTTCTTGTTTGACTTGTTCGGAAAGCGGAACTAATTCTTGTCTTTCGTGTAGAGATGGCGTGAGTTTTTTAGTTGGAAATACTTGTCTTAGTTGTGTTTTAAATTGTAGTCCAGGAAAATGTTCAAACACTACTGGTTGCACAATGTGTATCAATGGATATTATGTTCAAAACAAAATGTGTTTCAAGTGCGATTTAAATTGTGCGACATGTGAAAATTTCAGTACAAATTGTACCTCGTGCGACGAGACTTATTATTTACAAAATGGCAAATGTTTGCGTTGTCATCACAGTTGTGTACCGGGTAATTGCCAACAATCAACTGGTTGTACTGAATGTGAACCAAGGTTTTATCAATATAATATGACTTGTTTTAGTTGTGATGACACTTGCTACCAATGTAATGGCGGATCAAATACAAACTGTATATCATGTTTAGAAGGAATTAGCTTTTTAGAAAATGGACAATGTATAACTTGTGATAAAAAATGTAAAAATAACAGATGCCATAATTCAGAAGGATGTACTTCCTGTGAAGATAAATACTTCGTTAAAAATAAAAGATGTGTTTCTTGTCATTCAACTTGCAAGACGTGTGTTGGTGAACTCGAAACAGATTGTAATAGTTGTGAAAAGGGATGGTATTTGGACAATTCAAAATGTTTATCATGTGACACAAATTGTAAACAAGAAAATTGTGATGTAAACAATGGATGTCAAATATGCGAATTTGGATATTTCCCTAATAATAAAAAGTGTTCTCCATGCAATTCAATTGCAAATTGTGTTGAGTGCAACCAAAGTGTTGGGTTCCAATGTACAAAATGTGGAGACAGGTTCCAAGTTGTAAATTATTCGTGTCAATGTCCAAATTATTTATACCAAAACAGTCAAAACACTTGCAGTGAATGTTACAATTTTAATGACAATTGTCAATTATGTACTAACCAAGATGACTTTTCTTCAATTTGTACAAATTGTTTTAAGCCTTATATATTAACCAATTCCAAATGTAAATTGTGTATGAATGGTTATTACTATTCAAATAAGAAATGTTTTGTTAATGATGATGGGTGTGAACGTCAAATTGAAAATGGTCATTGTGTAAAATGTAATAGTAGTTTTTATTTACGAGAGAACAAATGTCTTCCAATAATTGAAAAATGTTTAACCAATTCAATAATAAAATGCCAGGACTGTCTAAATGGAATTTCTATCGACAGCAACTGTGGGTTGTATTCGGAATGCAAGTATTATCTAAAACAAATTATTAAAAATCAATGTCTTCAGTGTTTTAATAATCAAACTCTTATAAATGGAAATTGTTCTGTTGTGACAAATAGTCACTTCATCATCAATAATGTGATTATCAAGTGTGATAAGAATGAATATTTGAACAATACCAATTTGTGTACTCAATGTAAAAACTCTTTATTATGTAATTTTGAAAACAGTACAATCAAAGATATTTTATGTGATAAAGACAAAGTGATTGATACAACCGAAATTAAATGCGTTGAAAATAATAAGTGTGATTTGATAATATCAAGTGATTGTATACAATGCAAATTGCAAAACAGTTTTATTTCAATGAATCAATGTTCCGCGTGTAACGATAACAATTGTAAATTATGTACAAAGAAATATTGTGTAAAATGTAAATCAGAATACTTATTAGTTAATTCAAATAATTGTCAACATATAAACAGTTTTATGTGTGTTAAAAGTAATTCACAAAATTGCATTCAATGCGATATTTCTTACGTTCGATCCGGAAAAAACAATGAAACAACTTCATATTGTCAGAAACTTGAAAATAACATTAAATATGCGTTAATAAGAGAAAACAACACTTCAGTAACAATTAAAGAATGTGAAAACAACTATTATTTATTTGAAAATGAATGCACTTATGGTGAATTTTCGACAATTTCCAAAAGTGAAAAGGAAACGAATTGTCAAGTAAGAACACAAAAGGGGTGTGTGTCATGTTTAAATGGTTTTTATTTAAATCATGAAACGTGTGTGAAATGCATAAATGATTGTCTGAATTGCGTCAATGATAGTTACTGCCTTACTTGTGATAAAGACACCCACTTTTTGAATGTTTATTCTAAATGTGAGTCAACAACTGATTTAAATAAAAAGTGCAAACTTCCAATGCCACAAAATATAGGATGTGCTATATGTAACGACTCGTTTTATCGAGAAAAGAATGACTGTTTGGAGTGTCACAGATCATGTAAAACGTGTAAGTCAAAAGAAAAATGTATTTCATGTCAAGAAAACTATTATTACATTTCCTCTGAATCTTCTTTGTGCCAACCATATGATACTTTAACTTTTTGTATCAATAAAACACAAAGTGGTTGTGTTGAATGCCAAATTGGATACTATCTAGACAATTATGTTCCTCGATGCAGGATTTGTATGAACAATTGCACGTCTTGTCTAAATCAAAATAGTTGTTTTGTTTGCAACGAGGATAATGTGTATATTAACAACACCTGTGTTCATTTCTCGAATATTAAGAATTGTATTTCATCAAAGAATAATTATTGTTCGATGTGTGTTGATGGTAAAAAGGTTGGTGGTGATGAATTGTCTTGTGAGAATCAAGTTAATTTGGGTCTTGCCATAGGGCTTCCTGTGATGTTTATGTTGTTAATCATTATAACAATATCAGTAATAATAGTAGGACTGTTTTATTTGTATCAACACTTCAAAGAACAAAAGAAAATGCAAAATGTCTGTGTTTTTAAAATGAGTCGGTCGAATGTCATTTTCTATAAAGTGAATGATTGGCTTGTTTCTAACAAAGAAATCCTTATTTTTGAAGATGAAGACAACGTAAATAAAGAAATTTGTGTTGGTAAAGAAACACGTGAACTTCTCTGTGTTGGGAACAAATCAAACCATGTTGTGAAATTACAATTTAGTGTGATGAAAGGGTGTGATTATTACACGATACAAACCGAACCGAAGTTAGTCCACTTAAAAAGTGGAGAAGCTTGTGAATTTGAGATTTTTTTGACACCACTTTGTTCATGTAAAATTGAAGAGCAAATAGTGTGTATTGGTCTTGACATTCAAAAGGGAGTTGAAATGACAGACAATATTAAAATCTCTGCCAAAACTCAATTAACAACACGACTGGATTATCATGAATTACACGAACAAAAGAAACTTGGTGAAGGATCTTTTGGAATAGTCTATTTGGGAGAATTCAGAGGATTAAAAGTGGCAATCAAGAAGCTGAGAGAGGGTTGCAGTGATGAAGGCAAAGTCCGTGAATTTGAAAAAGAGGTTCAAATGCTTGACAAATTCCGAAGCGATTATTTAGTCCATTTTTATGGAGCTGTATTTATACCAAACAAAATCTGTATGGTGACCGAATTTGCGACTTTCGGGAGTCTCAACGACTTGATGAAGAAAAAACGAGAACAATCGCCTCGCATGGCAGTTAAAATGAAATTCATGTTAGACATGGCAAATGGTATCGTGTACCTTCACTCCAATGGAATTGTTCATAGAGATATTAAGCCTGACAATTTACTGGTATTTTCGTTGGACTTAGGGACAACAATCAACGCAAAGTTGACTGACTTTGGATCGGCGAGAAATATCAACATGTTAATGACAAACATGACATTTACAAAAGGAGTTGGAACACCGAAATATATGTCTCCTGAAGTACTAAACAAAGAGAAGTATAAAATGCCGAGTGACATCTTTTCCTTTGCAATTAGTATGTATGAGTGCTTTACATGGAAAGATCCTTACCCAAAAGAATTTTTCAAGTTTGCGTGGTCTATAGCAGACTTTGTTGCTTCAGGAAAGCATTTGCCCAAAGTCGAATGTATTGACGAAAAAATATATTCTTTATTGGAAAGTATGTGGTGCTTTGAAGGCAAAAATAGACTCAAAATTAATCAAGTCGTCGAACAACTTCAATTATTTATTACTCAGTCGTAATTCTATTCTTTCTTTATTTTAATATCATTATTCAATGTAATTGAATAGACTTTATATCGACATCAAATTATTGGTATATAATACAAAAAAAAATTACTTTCCGTTAAAAGTTGAATCTATAAACTTTAATAAAATAATACTATATTAACCACATACAATTATAGTAAACCAAATAGTAACACAAATTAAATAATATAGTAAATACTCCAAACAGAAGAAACCCTGAGGGTATATATAGAGAATCCAACTTGTTAGTCATTGAGTCTCAGATGGGAAAGCAAGCCAAAGATAAAGCCTCAAAGAAAGCTGCCAAGCCAGCCGTGAACAACTTCCCAGACATTTTGATGCCATCCGCTGAAGATATCAAGATGATGGTTGCCTGCAGAGTCCATATTGGAGCCACCAACGAGAACTATGCCATGAAAGGATACGTCTATGAGAAGGGAACCAATGGCGAGTGCATTTTCAACTTGATGAAGACATGGGAGAAGTTGAGCCTTGCTGCTCGTGTTATAGCTGGTATTTCAATTGAGAACCCAAGTGACGTAGTTGCCGTCGCTGGTCGTGAAATGGCGCACAGAGCCTCATTGAAGTTCATGAAATACACCGGATGCACCTCCGTCGTTGGAAGATTCACTGCTGGTACCTTCACCAATCAGATCCAAAAGAAATTCATGGAGCCACGTGTCATCATCGTCTCCGACCCAGCTGTTGACTCTCAAGCCTTGTTGGAATCCGGATACATCAACGTCCCAACCATCGCTTTTTGCAACTCAGACTCAGACACCACTAACGTCGATATTGCCATCCCATGCAACAACAGATCAAGACTCTCTATTGGTCTCATGTGGTGGATGCTCACCAGAGAAATCCTCAGATTCAGAGGTGAACTCGCTAGAGACAAGACTTGGGAAGTCGTCGTCGACTTGTTCTTGCACAGAGAACTCGACGCTAAGAAGGAAGTCTCCGCTCTCGCTGATAACACTGAGAAGAAGGAAGAGAACGTAGTCGCCCCAGCAAAGGCTGAAGAGAAGAAGGAAGCCGTCAAGGCAACCGTCGCCTCAAGCGAATGGGAAGACCAAAAGAAGGAAGAGAAAAAGAACTAAGTGACTGGTTCTGAGCATTTAGGGTTTTGAAATTTTTTAAAAACTTTTTGAATACATCTGGGGTTTCCACTATTTGTATACTGTTTATGCATTTATTTGGAAAACTCGTTATAATAATAATAAAGAAATAATTATTAATTAATAATAATTAATAATTAATTAAAACTATAATTTAATTAATAAAGAAACTAAAAGAATAGAATTTGAACATTACAGTGAATTCGAACACTTGAAGAAGTACCCGAAGACTAATTTGTTCTGAAGTTCTTTCATCACGGAGTTTTGAACGTTGAAATAAAAAGCGTCGAAGCCATATCGCGTGCTCATGAGTTGACCTGAGACGCCGTGGTGAGTAAAATCGATTTCCTTTTTCTCGAGTACATTGCCGAAGTTGGGTATTCCGTTGAAAACAAATAAGATATCATCTAAGACGCGGTCACGAGCTTTTTCGAGTGGAGTGAGGCTTGAGATTCGTGCGTTCACATATTCCTTTGCCCTTTCAATTGAAGGGAAGTTGACGAGAGGAATACCTTTATAGCCGACACACTCCCCATTCAAGTCGATAGTTGGCTTCTTCGGACTGATTTCGCTGAACCAGTCTTCTTCAAATATAGTTTGTAATGGTAAAGGAAGAAATCGGGAGCTTTTTGGTGGTAAAACCAAGACGAGTTGTACTAAAGGAGAGAGTGGAGGTGTTGGGGTGATCACTTCCTTGATATCGACTTCGAAGTAAGTGTTTAACATCGTCAAAGTTGGCGCATAAAAAGGACGATACCCAAATTCCCATGATATAGGATGGCCAGTGTAATACAAATAGACCCAGACTATCCCTTTAATATACTCTTTCACCCCTCGTTTCATATATTCTTCATTACTTTGAAATAACACTTTCTCATAGCGACTCCTCCAATTGGCTTCCCCGATCCGAACTAATTTGTTTGTGTCTTTTGTGACATACCCCGTCACACCAGGACAGGTCGTTGTTCTTGTTCTTACCATCGTCTTGACCATCATCTCTTCATTCTCTCGCAACTTCTCTAAAAACTCTTTAAATGCCGGAAAATTGATGTCGTCATTTTTGGTCAAGAAGACCCCACCACTCGATAATTTAAAATAACACGTAAGCGCCATTTTAAAGCTCCCGGAGTACACGTCGACACCGGGAACATTTGGAACAAAATCATTTCCAGCTAAACTCATGAGGAAGACAAAGTCATTTTCAAGCTGTGTTCGATTGATCTCTTTTCCCATCTCCGCACTCATCGAGACCAATTTGTTCGACAATAAAGTGATGTTCACAAAGTCGAACAGTTGGACGTCGGACTTTTGCGGCTTTTCACTCTTCGCACTTTTGTCCTTTGCGACTTTGGCGTGTCCGTGGCCATTCTTCTTTGGTCGAGAGTATTGTTTAGTTGGTGGAGTGAACTTCCTTAAGATGAAAATGTTATCAGTGTGAAGGGTTAATGATAGTAACAATAAATCAGCATCTTCTCCACATATCACATGACTCTCTGTGACTCTCTTCTGCGACCGAATAAATTCAATGATTTTGTGTTCGCCTTCGCCGGGAGAATGAACGCCAGACACTATCGTTTTAATTCGCCTGAAATAGTCAAGTCCAACGTTATTCATTTGAGACAAAATAAAAGACTCAACACCCGTCGAGATTTTCTCCATAAAGTCCGTTCCCGGTGTGATTTTATTCCCGTCTTCATTGTCGGGGGTAAACCGCCTCTTTCTTTGTTGAACCATTTTGGCAACGGGACACACGCCATCTATAGAAATGAACAATAAAGAACGCGGGCGTACTATGGAAACCAATTCTAATATTTTTTGGTTTAAAGATTCTATTGTTTGTTCTATTGTTGTATAATCTAATGAGCCATGAATCAGTCCATTCAAATCTATATATAAATTGTCATATTCTCGCCCATTCGGGTTCGGCTGGGAAAAATCAAAGTCATCGTTCCACCTTGCACGTCGTGTAAAGTTGGGGACTAGACGACAGAGGTATTTAAATAAAGAAGGAACGCCCATGTTTGTTTTGAAAAATTCTAGTCTAGGGTTTTAATAGTAGAAAGTTTGAAGCTTGTCCGTCGTCTGTGTGTTTTCACAGTGTCGTATTTTAATATTTGTAATGGTTGAAATTTAGTAAAATAAATTATAAAAATAGTTTGTGTTATGCTTCAAGAGTCAAGCGTCAAGACTTGAGTCGATCCAGGTTCTTAAAATATCGATATCTTTCTGGGCATAAAAGTAGTGAGGAGAACAACTTGATTCATTTAGAATACAGTGGAAACGTGAAGAAAAAGAGGAGACAACATTAGTTGGATTGACAGTGTCTAATGAACCATGCAGTATGAAAGTCTTGATATTCCATTGGACTATTGGATTGTCTGTTGTGAATTTGTAGTTGTCCCAAAGTAATTTCATTGATGGTGAACAGACTATTTCTTTTTCTTTAAATAATTGGTCGACAGTCACTTGATATATTTTCATCATACCCTCAATAACATAATTGAAATCGACAACGGGCGATAAGAAGAGACACTTTTCTATGCACTCTTTTGAAAAGAAAATTAATGCTAAATAAGCTCCATAACTGTTTCCAAAGATAGAGATATGTTTCCACCTGTTTTGTGCATATTTGTATATCAAATTTAACTCCCTTAAATCGTCTGTAATGTAATTAACAATAGACTCTTCTTTTCTCTCTCCAAACTTTGCAAGATCATAACTCAAAACTTGAAACCCTCGTGTTGTTGCTTCTTCAAACAAAAGTGTGATTGGAACGTCAGATTTGTTTGAAGAATATCCATGAATTGCTAAAATCACTTTGTCTGCGTGAGGACCCCAAACTAAAGAAGGAATATTATTAACCTCTATTCTTTCGTTCATCTTAATTATATTGTTCTTCATTTTTATTTTTTTCTTTTTATGATATATTCAATGGATTGAATGTGGATTATTCTCTGATTTAAAGCCAAGTTGACTAAGAATTTCTATTATGTTTTCGAATTAAATATTTCGATTTGTAATATTCATTTAGTTATTCAAAAATAACAACTTAGAACTGAACAAATAACACGATTTAGAAATTTGAAAAAATGTTCTGAATAGAATATTTGTTCAATATTTGGCAGTTAACGGTATTAATTCCACGACAATCTTTCTGCAATCAAAATTCATTTACTCAATGTGGAGCGGTTTTTACGAAATATATGAAATTGTTTACTGTTTATCATCGTGTTTTAATTCGTCAATTGCATTTACAATCATAGCGATATTGTTTGGTACTATTTCGAATAAGAAAGTAATGTTAAAATTATTACATCTAAAAAGAAAAATAAGTAAACAAAATCGGAGTTTTTCTGGAACCCAATTTTAAAAAGTGTTTCAATACTGTTTTATAAAATTCATTTGTTTTCTTTTGTTGTACTTTCTATTTTATAACATAAAACTTACATTTTTTGAAAATGAATTGCGTGGAATTCAAAGATGTTAATCTATTTTTATTTCGGTACGACAAAGTAATTCTTTTGATTTAACTTTTACGGATCGAAAAATTAATAACACCACGCCACATATGTTTTTGTTGCGAGCGATTTCCTAAATATTCCAAAAATGTGAGAAATAATTGGTACCCGAAAAAGGTACCTTTTAATCAGTTAAAAACAATTACTTTTTAAAAACATGTTATTCGAATGTAATTGAATGAACAATGAATTTTTATAATAATGAAGTGAACATTTTGAATAATAACAAAAGTTGGACAAAAAGACGTTTCGAAAAGAAAATGTGGGAAATCGTTGAACACTATTTAAACTAAAAAAATAAAACTTTTCATCAATGGTTCTTGTCAGTGTATCACTCTTTGTCTCGTCACTTTTGTTAGCCAATTTATTCTTGTTGCTATGTTATTTTCTCCGGAAATACGACATAATAGCAAGCAAACACACCCGTAAAGTTATTCATATAACTTTAGGGCTGAGTCAAATGATATTCTGGAGACTTTA